TGGGCGCGGATCAACCTCTTTCTCACACCAGCAAGCGTAGCTTGTAGGAAACACCTCTTGGGCAAGATTGCAGCCGGGACATCTCCAAGCACGAGGTCCACTGGACTCTCCTTCCTCGCCCCGCCTTCTCGCGGCATCCTGCGCCGCGGCGCCCTCGTTCTTCGACCACTTCTTAACACAATTCAAATGAAAAACAGTCCAGCAGAGCCCGCAAGACCACACGCGCGATTTTCTTCCAATCTCAATCGTGCAAATCGGGCATTCGTAAAGATTATGCGCAATATCTTCATGAATTCGTGTAACAATATCATCGGCCTCCGATTTTGTAGTCACTTTTGGCGCACGGGGACGAGGGTTCTTCGCTTTCCCTTTCCCTTTCCCTGCCGGTGCTGGTGCAGTAGTCGTCTTCAATGACGATGACTCGCCATTTGTAGTCGGGGGAACAGACCCAGGGACAAACACCGGCGCATCGGCGTTCAACCCTGGATCTTCCACATCCTGGCCGCCTTCTTGTGTATCGTCCTCCGAATTCTGCTGCGACTTCGTCAATCGCCCCTGGAATGCCCGCCTAGCAGCTCCCAGCTGTTGCTGGTCGCCGCCCCGCACCCGATCTTGCCGTTGACTTCCTCCGTCCGCCGCTGTGTTCCCACCTCGACCCCCTCGGCGTCCTCGTCTCGGGCCTCGCCGTGACCGCGGCTGGTTCGTCGCATTCGAATTCGGGGCATCGCCCGGCTGTGTTGTGTTCTGGGATGAGGACAAGGTCGGCGGCGGCAGTTGCGATTCCGGAGCCTGCTCTACAGGCTGGCTTTGCGGTTGTGGTTGCGCATCCGAAGACTGTGTCTGTGGTTGTCCCTGTGGTCGTCGATTGGCATTACCCCTCCGGCCTCGGTGTCCACGTCTGAAAGATCTAGGAGCCCGCGGAGCATTACTGTCCGCAGCGGGCGTGGCCGAGCTTGACATAATCTGGGTGGTCATGAAATTTGGGATCCGGGACTGCAAACTTGCAGTTGCAGTCATGCACGGCACAGCTAGCGGGATAATACGAAAGAAGGAAGGGAATAAAGAAAACAAAAAGAGAAAGAAATGAAAACGCCTGAGGCGAAGAGAAATTCCCTGGGCGAACAGAAAAGGACGGAAGATCAAAGTTGTGAAGTGAATGAGCGGGCAGTCTGCGAGTCTTATTAAGAGTGTGGCGAGAGTTCAACTGTGGCTCGGCCGTTTGTTTGTAAAGACTAGAGGATTCTGTATTTACTGTGGCTACGGTCCTACATCACTGTCTCACATAATACTGGTTATTATTTAACAGGCTCAACAATGAAGCGAGTCAAGCGACTGATGACGATCTCCATCCAGTCGCCTCCTGCTCAGTAACGGCGTTGCTTGGCCGTGACTCATAATCACTGTGCGAGTCACTATTACTCATAGTGGGACCTGCGCATACCAAGTTATACGAGGGAAACCAAGCTTGATGAAAGATAATAATATGTATATTCATTGGCAAATCCAAGTAGAAAATATCGTAACTATCATCGCTATGCGGTTCCTCAACTGGAGGAAAAGGATGGTAACTTCAAAATAACCAACCCATGCAAACATTATACATCAAGAAATATTAGGAAAAAATTAGAAAATTAGAAAAACAACACAATTTCGCCTCGGTCATTCTGCTTCAGACGCAGCGTGCGCCATAGATCCTTCTCATCATCTGCTCTCCGTTCGCGGTCTGCGCGGCTTCGGCCTTGATCTCGTCCGCGATCGCCATCGAACTCGTCTGTAAAGTCTTTGTGGAATCGCTTGAGAACCTTATTGATTGAGAAACCTCGGGAGCTCTCAGGTCCCTTGGTCACTAAGGACAAGAAGTGCGCAGCCATCTCTTGCTGGATCTCGTCTGGGTGATTCTCCTGTCGGTAAACGATCATCTCGCGACCGTCCTCTCGTGGGGAGTACGAACGCTCGGGATACTCGAGTTTCTTGATACGCCGCACCGGGCGTTCCCCTTCCATTTGCGCACTAATCTTGCGCTTGGATTTACCGGCGTCGGAGGGAGCACCATGGTCGCTTGGGGCGTTGCGAATCTTGTGAGTCTTCTTGGACTTGCGAGGCTCGTTCTCATTACCAGCAACACTGCTTCCGGACACGCTGGAGCCAGCAAACATCGATGAGACCAAGCGCTCGGCTCGGTTTTTGATCGAGATACCGAGACCCGTATCGTGGCTTTCCTTTTCGTCACGGCGGGTGCGCTTGAGAGGCGACGAAGGGTCCTGGTATCGTCGGCGCGGGTTGTCCGAAGCGTCTTCATCGTCTAAAGAAGGTGACCGAAGCATACGGTCGAGCCCCCCTGTCAGTCCAGAATGGTTGAGCATCGGCGTTCCTGGGTGGTTCAACACGCTAGATGGAGCCTCGAGCATAGGAGTATCTGCGTCATTGATATCATGGTCGTCAATGCGGCGCTTTCGCTTCTTCTCACTAGTAGTCGCAGTTAAAGTCGGAGGCGATTGCTTTCTCTCTCCCCGCCGGTCCTTCTTTTTCTTCGGCGCCGGCGTCATGAACTCCATCGATATAGCAGCATTCTTGTTGTTTGGATAGGTTGGCGGCTCGATGGGGCCAGAACCGTAAGAGAAACCATGTTCCTCGTAAGCGACATCGTAGTTTTTGCCTTCATCCTCATCATCGGCGTTACTGCTCGCAGACGCTTGAGGTTCGAAAACCGAAGGCGCGTGGTCCTTCATCTTCATCTGCTCTTTCGGGTGCACAAGAGAGACCTTGGACGCATTTGGCGTCTTGTCATCAACCATGAAATCGAAGACATTGACCTTGGCACCGCCATTTGTCGGCGCTTGTTTGTCTTCGCTTGGAGTAGGGGGGTTCGGAGCAGGCGGAACAAGGTTGGTTTGCGAATCGGGAGCATCTTCCACGTACGGGGCACGATGGGGAGTATTCGGCTTCGCGGGTTTGTTATCGTTCTTGTTGCCGTTTCTATTGTCGTTGTTGTTTCCTTTCCGTTGATTCTTGGCCGGCTTCTCTTTATAGAGTGCTCCTTGGTATTTCTGAGCCTCGCTCATACATGACTAAAAAGACTAAAGTTAGTTCCACACCATACAAGGAAAACGATTCGTTGCCCTTATATCGCCGCCTCTCGATAGGCCCAGCGCCATCATGCGCATCACACCGAGTAGGCGAATCAGGTCAACCAACGGTCCGAGATACCAACACCGTATTCTCCAACAATATCAAATAAAAAGGGCATTCCGTACCGTATGCGATTTATACTGTGTCCCCTGGAAGTGGACCATACAATCAATGCAGGTAAAGCTCGCTCCACGGCATTGGTTGCGATGGGAGTCAAGCTTCTTCTTGGTGAGAACATCACCGCACCCCTAAGAGAATAAGATTTTAGCACTTCGTTCCAATAATATTCACACAAGCGACCTGTGGTCCGGTACCCAAGGACGAGGCTCGACTCACCTCGCATGAAAATGAGACCATATTGACAAAAACCCCACGATGTGACAAGGCACTGAGTAGGACTGAGTGACTGAGTGAAGGAAATAGCCCCTCTGAAACTGGTAGCAGAGGGCTTGATAGAAGCGCGACCCCGCAATCAGAGCTGAAATCCTTCGCGCAAACGAGAAGGGGGCGCAAAAAGCGTTGGAATTGCGTTTGTTGACAGAGCGACAATGTCAACCTAGCAGGCAACAGGAGACAGAAGGGCGAATAGAAAACTGAAGGAGGCTGCGCAACAACCTTGGGGTGTCAGCGATTAAATTCTAGCACAGGCGACAACCCCTTTTGAGTTTGCCTCTCGATTTGCGCTCTTCGTGTTGGAATCTCTTCTGGCGCGTTCAAAAAAACCGAGAGGAAATTCAAAGGGAAAAAAAGGTGGGTAGACAACGCTATTCCTGTTGTGGACGAACAGGGTCCACAGAGTCTGCCTTGGAAACCAGGCGCTGACTGGCTCCCCCAGGTTACGCCGCCGCTCCAAGTAATGTTTAGATCTTCGCACGTCTCCTCTCAGCTCTCAGCAACCGTCTCCTGAGAAACCATGAAACAAATGTTCCTCTTTCGCTTCGCCCCCTGAATACTCCAAACAACTTTCTCACATTAACAGGCGGTTTCGTCAATCCCCTGTAAGCTGCAAAAGTACGGCGGTAATCACCACCATTGGCCTGCGCACAAGACTTGAAACAAGGCATTGCCTTCAGGATGAACCAGGGTCACTCCGTAGGCAGGCGACGATCAACGGATCCCAATCTCGAGGAGGGTGGGTGTCGTTCCCTCCACACACGAGAGGTTAAAGAAGCGTGAGCCTGTCAGGAGACTCGCACTGGCGCACATTGCACGGTCAAAGACAGATGACGGGCTCTTTGTTGCAGTGGGCCCCTCATTTGTAGCTGTTAGTGCGGCGCTTATGGAGGGGCAGTCTGTGCCGCTATGAATGTCTTGCGGCAAAGCATCTGCGGCGCAGCATTTAATGCGAGATAAGAACTCCGCCTAGTATACACTAATAATAGCACCATTTCGTGCGTTGATTGACGTTTAGCTTTGGCCTCGGTCTGGTTCTTTTCTGGCTCAGGACTGTGAACAGTATCATACTCCGACTATGTTGGTACTCAGGTCAGGTATTCTTTCAAATGGTACTCGCTGAGGCTGTCCCATCGGGTATTTAAGTAGAATTTCACAAGTCGTGCATAAACTACAACAGCTTAAAAGGTAGGTTTTTCTAGGTCGGTCTTCCGTCCTATCAGCTGCCCCCATAATGGCAAAATCATCAGCTTGAATAGTCAACACCCTCTCTGGCATCGGGTCAGCTGCGCCTGTCACAGAGCCATAAACCCTCACCAGTGGAGTCATGCGCACAAGAATGCATACTCGTGTGGCATTCACAAAGGGATCATCCTGGTTTCCATGGCTGATCCAGTAGGGTTTCGGCTTCCATATTCCCGCGCTGAATTGGGTTGGACATTTCTCGGCCTCCCCCTCGGGACTGGCCGAAGTTCCGAGCGCCGCAACCTTTGTCAAACCCAGTTGCTACTAATGGCCGAGCAAATTGAATAGAGATTATTATACACTCAACGACCGGCGTTGAATATTTATGGCGAGAGATATGATGGTGGAAATGTACTAGGTATCTGCGAGAACGGATGCACGACTCAATCCGTGTCACGTATATCTACCCTCCACGAGTGATACTAGATTCAATCGCAATTAGTTAAAGTTAGTAGAGAAAGGCAAGGGGGTGCACTGACGGTTCCCGGGATATCTCCACAGGCGAGATAGTATCACCGCCATCGCTGCTTTCGCGAGGGGTGGCCTTGTTGCCACTATCAGAGTCATTTCCCCCGCTTTCGTCTTCATCATCGGCGCAGCCGCAGTCGTAAAAATCGCCGAGCTTGGTACAGTCGAACTCTGGCTTTTCGAGCATGGAATTGACTTCGTTGTGGATGAAGCAGCCCCATCCTGCAGCTGCATTACGGGAAGAGACCTGCGGGGGGTATTTCTTCAGGTGTTGTTGGAAGTGCGACGCGCATTCACCGCTAGTTTAGTAGTCAGCATTCAGCGTGCGGGGTGGGCGACTGGTGGCACTATACCATGGATATAGTCGCGCGAAAAGGTAGATGTATGAGTGGAGCGTTTCTTGTTGCTCTTCTGTGGGTTCTTCGGGATAACGAGCGAGCATAGTGTGAAAGTACTTCCATGTTGCGCGACCTAATTCGGCTCTAGTTTCCCAAGCTGTCAGCTCATATTAAAGATTCAGGCGAGGATGGGATTTGCCTACTTCGCTGTCTCATTGCCTAGACGGGGCATCACAATGTCCCCTTTCTTAAGATCATCCTGAACAGGTGTGGTTTTATCGAGGTGGCCGGGAGCTCGGACTGCTGGACTAGGGGGTCCATAGGGTTGAATGAACAGGACGAAGAGGAAAAAGATTAAAATAGAAGCGCTTATCAAGATGCGCCTTGTGATCTGGCGATTGGCCATGGTTAATGAAAGGAAAGGGGCACGATTCTCGAGATTGAATGATGCTGGAGAACGCGCATACCACCGGGCGAAAACAATGGTGCTAGTAAGGAGGGCTGCAAAACATCAGAACATCAAAAGGAAAGAAGGTAGCAAAGTTGTTGGGATTGTGATTTTGAGGAAGTAATGGCTGTTCATCTTCCTTGCAGAAGCAGTAAAGTGGCCTGACGCCGTCCTTTCAGTTTCACTTCGAAGATCGGGGAGTCCACGTGGAATGCATTAACTTCGGTTTCACTCGCTTAGTCACTATCCTGTTTATGCTGGGCGCATCACAAGGGAAGCATTGCCTCAACGGAATCTTTTTCTACAGAACTGCTCTTGGATGTCACCCATAGTCCATACATGGGTTTTGAGGAGCCATGCGACGCGCTCGTGCCCAGAGATAACAGTGCAGAAATGCCCTGTCCGATTCAAGCATTTGCGGGGAGGCGATTACATAACGCCTTATGCCGACCCACCAAATTTGTTCCGACTTAAACTCCGGAGCCTCAGTCTGTCTCGCATCTCGACAAATCCACCCTGCCCACCAGCGAATATGGCCTCTATCAGATCCCCGGCTTTTCAGTCCCTAGCGCGGACCCGGACTCCCTTCATCCGCTCACAACAGCGCCGATGGGCTCAAGTCCATGATGTCCGCTTCCTTGCGACCCATCGCGACCCCAACCAGGTCCTGGAGAAATACCGATCGAAGCTCAATCAAAAGGCGCAACAGTAAGTCGGAACAGTGACTAGGGGTCCCAATCAACTCTAGTGCTAAACAACACTCCAGGGAGGGTTTCCAATCCGTCGAATCCCTGAAGGAAGCCCATCAGGAAAAGATCGATAAGCTGCGCCGCGAAGCATCAACAATCTTGACTCCCGAACCACCATCGCCCTCCGCAACACCTCAGTCCCCTCCCCCTCCTCCGTCTGCTCAAACCACCGCTCAGTCCCAAGTGGCAGCCGCCTCAAAGTCAACTGGCATCAAACCCCTGAGCTCCTACCTCGACGTCGAGAAAATCCGCGACCTCCCTCCCAAAGAGATCGAAGCTCTGTGGCGCCTCCGCCACGCCTCAAACCCCAATTCCATTTGTGCTGTTGTCTCGTTGGAAACTTACGAGCGCATCATATCTGCAGCCCGCCAGAACCCGCAGTTCATTCTCCCACTGCCACGCACCACCGAGACCCCCCAAGCACCCGAAGCGGACGCCGCCGCATCCAATGAGAAGAACGGCGCGGATATTCACTTCTTGCAGTGGGCCTTCCACCCGCCTGCATCGACACCAACAGCGGTCAACTCGCATACATCTACCGTGATCTTTACCCCTCTGGCTTCGTACAAACTGCACGGCTCTTTTGCCCAGCCGCATACGACAGTCACACACCATCTAGATCTTGCGGATGACAAGGGGTTGGTCCTTATGCATGGCCAGGTGATGCCTGATTCTGGAGTGTCTACCTCTGAAGCTACGTGGTTGGTTAGCTGCGTGCAGCGGTTTTACGATTTCGGTGGGCAGGCGAGCGGGCGGAAGGGTGAGCTGCTTCGCATGTTTACCCAAGGTGACGTCCAGAACTTCAAGATTGAAGAACTGATGGCCGAAGCGGAGAAGCTGTAAATGAGATGGATACCATCATTTCGTGTACTTTAGCATTGTATAACATTGTCATTTTTTCTTTGTTTTGGCATCCATTAATCCTACCTAGATGAAGATAGAATATCTCGGCTTGCTTCATACACGATAAGCTCGGTAGGTAGATACTAGTATTAGCCGAGAAAAAAGACCATCTTAAATTTATTGACAAGTTCAAACCCGAAACGCCAATTCAAAACAATCATGCGTTCAACGGCACCTATGTCACATCTGTATGGCTGCGATTGAGATTATGATGAATGCTTGAACGAAGATGTGGGAGATCTCTGAAATGTGAATAATATGGACAGCGAAATCAAATAAAACAAGTCTCGCACGGCTTCCAGATAGAGCACATGCTCGTCGAAGGATCTGGTAATGTTGATGATAAAGTACAGGAGAGGGAATCATGAGGGTAAGAAATTAAGTCGCTAAGCCGCTCGTGTAATGGTGTCGGCTGAATTAACTTGGCGCTTGCAATGTAAGCTTTATTCGAGGGTGTACAAGGTTCCAAGCAAGTATCAGCTTGGCCTTGGAAGTCGACGCGGTCAAGAAGCGCATTCGTAAGTCATAAGGTAAAGGAAGATTTCGTTAATTTTTGAGGATTTCTTCCGTAACAAAAGAATGGATATGCTCGAAGTATCCAGGCTCGGCCACACTATCGTTATGTGCTCCGTTTGGAAGTGTTCGCCATACTTTGCGGTTGGAGTTGCAGATAGCAAACAGCTGTGTCATGTTCGATGGTCTGGGCCAGGTTAGTTTCTTCGTTTAATTTTGCCCCGCGTACAATCAGGGAAGTTAAGCAGTACTCACGGTATAATTTCGTCTTTTAACCCGCTCAGAAAGAGCACAGGGGTCTGAGTTATCTTTGGCAGAACCTCCTCGCTCGTCCATGTCTGGTGGCAGAATCGAGCAAGATATCGGGCCGGGGGAAAGACGCTGGTACCAGTTAATACAAAACCAATATTATAAAATGGATAATCTTAAAAGCTGAGAACATACCTTGGGATCAATTTCCGGATACTAAGGAAGGTGTTTTCGAGAATCAACCCGGCAATATTACCCTTATCTTCGTTGGCAGCGACAAGGTTGATCGCCACAGCTCCTCCAAGACTCTGGCCATATACAATAACCCGCGAGTCCGCCGTCTCCCCCCTTTGCCGAATGTGATCGAGCGCTGTCTGAGCGTCAATTTTTAGTCCGTTCTCGTCAGGCACCCCAGTGGATAAACCATAGCCCCGATACTCTAGCATCAGAACATGACATCCCAAGAAATCTTGTAGGACCTTCGCGATGGGAATGCGATGGCCCACGTTGCCTGCGTTTCCATGGAACATTAAGATGGTAAGGTTCTGGTCCAATCGCTTGGGCGGAGCACGAATGAAGTAGGCATGCAAAGATTCGCCATCCGGCGTGCGAAGTTGGAGCTCCTCGTAGTCATCCAGGCCGAACTGGCGAGGTTTGGGGACACTTGTGCGTGCATCGGCAGGGATATTTCGCGGGTAGATAAGCTCACTGCACATGTGTCAGTCACCGGCAAGCGCCATGTGCGGTTGTATCAAGATGGCAATATAGACGGACGAACTTTTGCTTGAAATACAAGAGACCACTAGCAACAACAGCTAGGCCAGACGATGCTAGCATCGGAAGACGCAGAAACTGGACTGCACTGTTGGCCATACTGCCTATACTCCACGACGGTGGGGGCGGCGGAGATTCCGACATGTTGAGCAGGAGTGTCGCAGGGGAAGTAATAGACCAATGCAAGATGACAAGAGATGCAGGGGCGAAGCAGGTTGAGGCTGAATGACAAACACACAATTCCACACCCAGTACCAAGTTAATGCAGAACGTAAAGACCGCAAGTGCAGAAAATGCAAGATGGAATGGTGAGTGCCCGATGGAGTCGCATGGACTGGTGTAATCTCTCAGGAGGCTTTCACGCTGCGGGGAGGAGACGGCGGGAAGTGTGGCCAATGGGCGTGGGGGCGGGGCTCACCGCCTGGCGGAATCAGCTCCAGCTTGCTTGCCCACGTAAGGCTTGCCTGCCTTGAGCTCTGAAGCTGCTCTGATCAACCTACAACCTCACAATTCTACCTTCCACCCTACATTTCCGTCTCATTCTCTCTTCTCTGCCCTTATTAGATACGCCTGTCTAATACTCAAACCCTCTAATACCCGACAAGTCTACTCGCGGAGCCTTTTCCTCTTCACCCAACAGGATGGTCGGTCACGGTCTCACGGGGATGCTCGGGGAAGGTTAGAAGCTATACAAATCTGCGCTGTAATACACCGTGATTAACACGTATTCTAGATGGCATTCATATCGATATGAATCATCTGAAGAGTGGAGAGGTCAAGTAAGTTCCGTTCAACGTCAATCGTCTGATGATGACCAGCATCTAACATCTCTTCTTCTAGCCTAGGAACATCAATGTAAGTGATGTCTACTGCAACTTTCGATATCCGATTGACTAATATCTCCATTCCTCGTTTAGCATGGCGATAAACTTCAAGGACGGTGTTATACTGGGCGCGGACAGTCGGACAACGACCGGAGCTTACATTGCCAACCGAGTCACCGATAAGCTCACACAAGTCCATGATACCATCTGGTGTTGCCGATCCGGTTCGGCCGCTGATACACAGGCCGTGGCGGACATTGTTTCGTACCATCTCAACATGTACGCCATTGTCAACAATGAGGCCCCGAGCACTCAGGTTGCTGCGTCGCTGTTCCAGGAGCTATGTTATGAAAACAAGGACATGCTAAGGTAGGCTAATTCACACGGGGTTCTAGATATTGATAATGGTTGGCTGATGCGCGAATTGTAGTGCCGGAATTATCATTGCGGGCTACGATCCCCGGCATGGCGGCCAAGTGTATTCGATACCTCTGGGCGGATCACTACACAAGCAATCATATTCGATTGGCGGGTCTGGTTCGACTTACATCTACGGTTACTGTGACGCGAACTGGAAGGAGAACATGACGGAAGAAGAGGGTATCAACTTTGTTCGAAGTGCACTGCAGGAGGCAATCAAATGGGATGGCAGCTCTGGCGGCGTGATCAGGATGGTAGTCTTGACAAACAAAGGAGCGCAACGACACCTGTATCTGCCAGACACTGGCTACACTGCACCCGGTAACACCAACTAGTTAGTTTCCCACGATTGGTAATGATTACATCTCCATGCTAGCTATCAATTGAAAGCCTTCCTCTGTTTGCTTCTCCCTTGCATTGAAAACTTTCGCTTCTTCAGCATATTTAGCTCTGTAGCTCCGTGATGCATCGAGGGTTCGGCCTCAAAATGCATGGCGATCCTTCAGCCGTAGGTGAAATCAACTGATCCGCTTCATACTAGTAAATCAGAGATCATGCAAGGATCTCTGCAAGTCGTGGTACCAGTAAGACTTTGGGGGGCTTCCACTTTGTCTTTTTTTTGTTTTTCTCTGCAGATAATAAGGCTGAGAATTGCAGCCATGGGACACAGCCGGTCAGGTAGATATATCAGGTCTAGGTTCCAAAGACAAGTTCCGGAGGACTCCCGGGGGGCCCGTATATAGCTCATCGGGGCGGGGGCGAACAGAGTCAACGAGGGTGGGTTTCGGCATCACGACAATCTTCCCCGACCACCAATCATCCGACCATCAACCCCAGGTGCGCTTCCAGAGAGCCGCCATTCGCCCGTTCCAGTCCCTGTCTGCCCGGCATGAATCCTGCTGGCTCCCGTTCTTGATCTTGGATTTCATACCTGTCCTTCGAATTCGGAAACTAGTGATCATGTGGAATCAAAACCACCAGTGATACGGAGGCGCATGGCCCCAGGGGCTGTTGCGAAAAAAAAGGAAACAGGACAAGCATAGACCTCGGAGACTCAGCGTCGACAAATAGAAGGCCTGTTGGGTACGTGCTCACCGTGCTCACCGTTTCATGAGGCAGCGATGATGCATCTGCTGAGGTATATTCAGCCCATTGTCCCGGAGCCGATCATTATTAGCATGACATTATCTGTCTGATCCCGATAGTTATACATAATTGCAGGATCTCGAGCAGTTGTGCTGGTGTCGAGCGGTTTGTCGACAGTTGTTGTGTCGGCCCTGCTGACTGTCCCGGTGGAACCCAATTCAGGTCAACCAACCCGTCTGGACTGCATCACCACTTCTTGTCTATCGAGGCTTCTCCTCCGCCACCAGCAAGTTAGCCTCCCTCTCTCCTCTTTCGCCCCCTGTTTCCTTGGTTTTTCTCGGTGGCTTTGGCCCTATACTTGTCTTTTCTGCCCAGTCCCCTTCTCAGCTCCTCGGATCGCAATGGATTGTTCCGTTGCTGCCTCTCGCTCGTGAATCCCTTCCGATTCAAGCCTGGCCGGGTCGGAGTGCTGTGCGCACCCCCAAGTCCTCTGGCCCTCTGCGATCGTTTTCACACCGAGGAATCCTCTATTTCCGTTGATAATAATTGATTGATTGTATATTGAATCCTGCGCCATCTCTCTTATCTCCTGATGGCCTCGCCCTCGTTTCCCCTCACCCGCACTGCACCTCTCTCTTCTTCCGACATGGTTTACCTTCAGCCTCCAACACCCCCTCACCACACGGCCCTTCGATGCTGAACTGTCGCTGACATTGGATTTAGAGCGCTGTTTGCTCTATATAGTAATATTCTGAACCAGCGCGGCTTCCTCCTCTCCGTCTCTTCCACCCGGATATGGAATCGGTCGTTCTCAACCATCCGCCATCGACCCATAGTGATAGCTCCTACAACATGCTGGGAGGCGCCGTCCCTTCCTCGGAATCCGTCTATCGACCATCTTCACGCCAGTCCACCCGACCATCATCGAATCTTGAGTCCGGTAGCTCCATATCAACCTCGTCTAACAATACCCCCACCTTCACTGCCCCGCCATCGGCATCCACCACAAGTTCAGCCCGACTGCCATCCCAAGATGTTCCGGCCTACATCAGCCGACCCTCTTATACTGGCTCACAATCATCATCAGAATCCTCGACAGTCACCCCTGGACAGACACCTACCCCAGCTTATACACAGCAACAGTCTGCACCAATGAATCCGCCCACATCTGGCCACCCACCTCGATCTGACCCCAGCCCCCGCTCTGCGACATATTTTTCCCAGCATGGCAGTCAGTCAGGTACTACGACAGCAGCCATCGGAGGGCCACGTACAGGTAGCCAGTCCTCTCCAGCTTCTCCGCAGTTGAGACCAACATTGGAATCCCTTCGATCGCTGGGAGGCTCAGAAGTAAATTCGCCCAGTCGCATTAAGATCCGCGATTTATCCCACATTCAGAGCTTCGCCAGCGAGGAATTCCTAGCCCAGTCGCAGAGAAATCAAGGGCCTTGGGCCCAGGAGCGCCAGTTCGAGATCAGTTCCATGCCGGTCACGGATATTATCGAAATGGTTGCCGGGCTTTTGACCAAGATCACCACCACCAACGATTCACACCACGAGCAAGTCAACCGACAAATCCCTCCTGTGGACGGGTCAAGCAATTTATCTCAACAAGCGCACAGCGTGCTCGCATTCCACGGCAAAAATGTCCCAAGTATAAGTATACTGAGCTATCTAACCAGAATTCACAAGTACTGCCCCACTACCTATGAGGTATTCCTCAGTCTGTTGGTATATTTCGACCGCATGACGGAAATGGTGAACAAAGGTCAATTAGAGCGCCTGCGTCGTCGTTACACACGTACAGACGCGTTGCAGTCGGACACCCCAATCAGACCCAGATCTTCCGAATCATCCGTTACGCAACGGGCTCATACTTCACCAATGGTAACCCCGCCGCCTTCTGCCGGAATTACAGCTCAAGATCCGTCGTCATCATCGCCTATTTCACCAGCTATGAATCCTCAATCAGAGGACCATCTCTCTCATTTCTTTGTTGTTGATAGCTTCAACATCCATCGACTTGTCATCGCAGGTGTGACTTGCGCTAGTAAATTCTTCTCTGACGTATTCTATACAAACTCGAGATATGCAAAGGTATGTCTTTTCACGCAGCCCTCTTTCTATTTTATCTTTGACTGATCTCCTATAACCAGGTCGGAGGCCTTCCATTAGCCGAGCTAAACCACCTCGAGCTCCAATTCCTTCTACTAAACGACTTCCGCCTTTCGATACCTGTTGAGGAATTAGAAGCCTATGGGACCATGCTTGTGGAGTTTTACGCCCGAGAAATCGTCACTCAGCAACAACAATCCCAGCCCCAGGTAGGGCTAAGAGAGGGATCCCAATCCGATGGAATGTACATGCGGGACACGCGGCAACCGGAGGTTCGCCAAACCAGCACGCCACCTTAAAGAACTTTGCCTGTCCATGGTCCTGTCCGGCCGCCATGCCCTTATACATGTGCACACACCTCCACAGCGTTGTTTTTAACTGCCTCATGGTTTTCAAGTCCCGGCTCAATTGATATCACTCTCATATCCGGTCCTGACGGTATTTGATCGAGTGAATATCCAGTCCACACCTCAACCTCCCTCCCATTTTTTCCATTTGATTGAATCGAATTGATTGGCGTCGAATACCCCTCTCTCTGATGCCTTTGTCTTCTCTTCTGTCTAGTTGTTTCCAAGCCACGAACGAACTGAACCTTTTATTCATATCCATAGACTATTTACTCATTTACTCGCACTGCCTCCCATCCCATTCCGTCCGAGCACAGTACAGCATTTTCCCCGGATGACTGTTCTGCTCTCGCATGTTTCATCGTCGTGACATTGATTCCGGTTGCTCCCGTTCTGGTTCTTGTTTTATTTTTACCTACCTACCTACCTACCTACGCCATACTTCCATTATTTTTACCTGGGCATGTACACAATAGCTTGTTGTAGTGCCTCCCTCGGTACTTACTGTTATTGTTATTCGTCAACTGCATATCGGTCTTCCTAACATTGGTTGGCATTTCTTGGGCGTTGTCTTCCTCTCACCTTCATCTTCTATTGTGCTTTGAAGTGTTGAAGTGTTATTGTTAGTTATAAGATAGCCGGGCGTCTTATCCTCATATACGTTAGGCGTCGTAGTGATCACCTTTCATAACAATTAAGCCTACTGAATTAGTTCCTCGACATCCGCCGAGGTGCACCTCGGTTGTCTAACTACGCTTATACTTGATGGACCTTACTCTACGATCTGAAATGGGTTACCAGGTGAGGTAGCAAAAGAAATAAGTGTCTCTCGATTCTGTCGAGGTGGTAAATGGCTCTGTCCGTCAATGAAAGACTGGATCAACTAAATACAATAGTAAAATACATCACTGCCCATATATACTTGTCCTCCTCCGCAGCAACCCCTGACTAAGCGCCAACACGATCATCAGCCAAGACCTCTGCCCTCCTACTTCCAACCTCAACCTCACCCTCCACCACCGGCACAAGAACAAATCTTCTATGCAGGTCAGCTCATCCGTACGGTCACAATGAACAAGATGTATGTCCAGGGCTGCTTACCTCAAGCTGTCGTTAGACTTTCTAACAAAGTTCAAGAATCATGATTGAGCGACGTTTCCCACCAACCAACTGTTGAAACGTTAGCTTGTATCTCAAATTGGATCACTTGGAATGAAGGCTTACCCCCGTAGCCCTCCAGTGAAACCAACAAGCCCGGTGGCTATCTGTTCAATCCAAAAAAGGTCATCAGGGAGCGGCGATATTCCCACCAACCAACTGCCGGTGTTATGTTTAGCATATGCAAGCCACAAGACTAGGATCGACTTACCCCCATCGCCCTCCAAATAAAGCCACCATCGACCGGGGGCCGCTGACGCTCCGACTATGGTCTACGACTTAAGATCTCGCGTACGAGTTTGCGCCATTACCCCTGTGCATAGGGAACCACTGCCGGATGTCCTCTAGTTTACAAGCGTTAGCAGAAGCCAACTGATGGCAGTATGAATGCTTACCTGTCTGTAGATGGGAAGACGCCACCAATACTCAGCAGGACGAACGCCAGCTCGATCTATAACTCATTAGCGCTGACTGACTGGCCCGACGGGCCAGTTCAAGTCAAAAACCCAAAAGAAAAGAAAAAAGAAAAAGTTCATGATCCCAATAAAAAGAAAAAGAAAAAAGAAAAAAGAAAAACAAATGAGTGGAAGGGGATAAGCGGATATCGAAACGAGTGGAGGGGGGGAGAGAAGTTCAGTTATCCACCACAAGGGTGTGAGGGAGGAAGGGGTATACAAAGAATGTCTGGGTCAGTGGGATACAAAATGAATGTGGCGAGAGCGGTTAACGAAAGTGAAGAAAAAGGCGTGTGTCGACTATGCTCAAAGCATAAACACACCCTTCTTCCGGACGGACTCTCTCTTGTGAAGCCAACACCTGAAGACCTCCGGAGGGGTCCAGTCGGGGTGCCTAGCCTGGAGGCAAGCCAGGGCGTTCCAGGCACAGTCTTGTCGGTTGCAGGGTTGAGAGATGTGATCGGAGATACCAGTGTACGAATCGGAACCCCAGTACGTGGTATACTTCTCCTCTTCACCATCCTCATCGGGCTTCGTCAAAGGAGTGACTGACCAACCCTGAAGGGTTCCCATGGCGGAAATGGGGGCGGGATAGATGTGCTTACGGCGATCGATCCAACGAGGGACTGAGACAACGGTGGTCTCTCCAAAACGAACGGATTTTGTCGGTTTGCTCTTGCGTTCACTCTTGGCCGGAGCCGAGGGCTTAGCTCGAGCATTTTTGACTTGCCGGGTTGTGCGGCCGGCAGCGCGTTTGGCGGCCAGGTATCTCTCCTGGGCGGCAAGGGCTTCTTCTTTCGCCTGTAAGTATCTCATTTTCCTAAGTCTAGGAGGGGTGTGAACGTCGATGGCCTGATCAATCCAACGAGTGACTGGGATGACGGTAGTCTCCCCGAAGTGGACGCGTTTGACTGGCTTGTTCTCACGTCCGCCGTTGACCGAAGTCTCGGGCTTAGCTCGAACGTTGCCAACTCGCGCGGACAACTTCTTGTTGGTAGGGATTGTCGGGTTCGTCGAGGGGGCAGGGTTGCGGGACGACAGGTGCAACCGGGATGGCTGAGTAGACCTCTCAGTAGCCCAAGGTCTAGGCCGGTTCTGTCGGGCCACGCGCCTTTCCTCGATGATGGCGTGACGTCGAAAAGAAGGAATTTGAGTTGGTCGTTCAAAAGAAGGTGGTTGAGTTGGACTTGGGGATCTGACTGGGAGTCGAGAGCCAAGGCGTGACGACTCAAAAGAACGAATGTTGTCCCGGATAGGCCGGGACGCCGAAAAAGAGCGGGCAGTAGGTCCGGGGTTGGCGCGGGTCGAGACACGGGGTTGAAAAGATAAACGAGAGACGGGTTGTGTCTTGAGACGCGCAACGACTGGAAGCGGATCTAACTGGGGAAGACGACCAGTTCGGAGTCGAGACATCGGAACTGGCAAAAACGAAACGGAAGGGAGAAAAAAAAAGGTAAACACCAAGATGGGAACGATAAAACGCAGCGTGGGCTAAGGCACGGTACTAGCAATCGAAACAACCATGTGGTGTGAAGAGGGGAAAAAAGAAGAAGAGGAAGAGGACGAGCGAAACGGGGGGTTATATAGGGCACGGTGGCGTTGTTGTGAGCGCTGTTGAAGCAGTCACGACAGTGAGTTGATATCAAGAGAAGAAGGAACACTTCTAAGATCTTGACAACCGTCGCCATGGGCCGCAAAAGAGTACGGAGAACGCCAACAACTCGTCCCCAATGCGTCCTGATGAACTTAGGGCTAAGTCTGGCTCTATACAAAAGCGGGCCGAGCTACTGCAACGCTAACCCAGCCCTACAAGAGCCTCATGGGGCGTATATCCACAGAGGCGATCCAGATATAAACATTATTCCAACGGCAACTTCTCGTCCACTCGCTTCCTTCCCTGCTCATGTCGAAGGGCGTAGACCATGGTTCCGCCACTCGGTGCTATAGCAACTAATCACACCACCACTCAAAACCAGCAAGCACCGAGAACCCGCCTGCCTACATTGAGAGATCATGTCACGCCGTCCGCTTTTCCATGGCAACCTGTGTTTTGGATCCTGAATCCTCAGGCTGTGTAGTGAGCTCGTAGGTTATGTCGGGTGCTGAGGTGTGTGCTATGAATGAGTACAGGTAAGTCGAGTAGGCACTGGTAAACATTCAGATAGTACGATATACGGCTAGCTAGTAATAGTAAATCAACTGGATTGAATATCTCCTATCGTTTTTCGGGCTGTAATCCATCATTGATCTCTACTGTAGCTGGTACCATCAGAGCTGCGAGGTAAACAAAGGCCAAATTAAACCCAGTTGTCCACGATACCCGAAGCCCTATATATACTGTAGCTTAAATTCTCAACTCATGGCTCCAATTGCATGCAATGGCAAAGATTTTAAATAGAAATAGGTATTAGGTATTAGGTACTTTCGCCGTAGGGAGGCTGAAGGCCGAAGGAAGGATGATGCAAAACACGCTCATTCAGAAATGAAGATGCTAATCATCACGCTATCCACACGACTAGAATCGAGATCCAAAGGACAAAGAAGTGATAGGTAGTAGTTAATAACAAGTGTATCGATAACACGAAAGGGGGCGTATCAACTCAAGGTCAAGGTCAAGGTCAAGTGCGTAATCCATGTTCATGCTCATGCTCGTAAGTCAATGTCAATAATGTCCAAGTCCCATCCAGTCCGAGCCTCATTACGCCCGATGCAACCGAGTATTATTTATTTATTTCCATCCGTCCAGGTGCAGCCCGTGAAGAGTATGTACGGTAAATGTTGTTGTAGCTAGGGTAGTCATCATTCGATCCGCGGCGGGGTCCTCGATTTCTTCCCTGAAGGACTTAAACTAGCTCTGAATATCAAGCGTGCGTCGTCAGCAAGAGAACGCAGAAGGGTCTCTGTTAGAAGAGGGAAACGCACGATCTTCGTCTTTCACCTTCTTTCCGAAAAGTCTCGATGATTTTGGCAATTTCCTTGCGACCCGAGCGTGCATCTACTCTCCATCCACCTAAGCTCATGCTAACCTTCTCGTTGGAGTTGGCCCTAAGTAATCGTTTCAGGAGAAGGTGCCGCATGCTCAAGCAGACAAACACGCCGCAGTCGCTGCCGTTCTCCTGTATCGGTGAATCTTCAAGGTTAACGAACCGTATTGGACGGTTAAGAAGAGCGCCAAACTTCATCGTGGCTGTCTTGGCCTCCCAGTAGTTCCCCGGTGGTAATGAATCATAGTGGAATGCTATGCCATCAACTATTGAAATCAAAAGGAGGGACCAATGTGTACCACCTTCGGCTTCCGAAACATTTCGGCAGTCGTTGATGGGGAGGAAGACATGCGTCGTGCGTGAAAAGTCCGGCAATGCCTCACGCAGCGAATGCGGATTTGGTGTCTGCAGGATCATAAAGGACATGCTCGGTCGAAGAAGAACAATGTTGGACGATTTGAACTCTGTGAGGAACTCGCGCTCCAAGTACCTGGGACAATCAGTCATTGTGACGAGTCACAGCGCAGCGCCCATTCCGAACTTACTCCTCCCAGAAAGATATAATCTAGTAGTAGCAATAAGTCAGCTCCGCAATTACCGCAGTGTTATTTTGTTTGTCAGTCACACGAACATTATCCGTAAGCCAGTCATCCTTGAGAGATTGTAAATCACCTCTTGTCACTAGAACCCGAGGGAAACAAAGGTCAGCAATAGCTCTTCCATCGTTCAAGATGTAACGGTACGAAGTCCACAAACATACATCTGATATCGTGATCTATAAACTCCGATCTAGTCAGAATGCATCATATCCACACTCAATTGGCGCAAAAAGCATCGAGACTCACAGCTAAGGTATGCATCATCCGGATTCAACTATACAATTCGTTAATCCCATTCCCAGTCCACAATTGGATGCCCGTCCGATCCACCCAAAAGAGGAAGAAAACATACCGTATCCCCAAACCTTCTCATCCTCTTCTGGAGCTTCCCTAGCCCGCCGTCCCGCATCGTATTCGCGGAACCCGATGCCCAACACGCAGAACTATACCGTCTATACTAGCAAGTAGGTCGCTCGCGAGGTCTCGGCTGGACTGGTCTGGTCTAGTCCCGGCCGGCTGGGACCGATCGTCGAAGTCGAAAGGGATAGTGTCTTAGCCCCTATCAGGGTCCAAGCGGCATATATATACGAATAGGAGGGCTGATCGACGGCGATGGTGACTCGAAAGTAACGACCTCGGCGTTGAGTTAGTCCGCTTGGGTCCGTTCGTTGGAAAATGGCTCGTGGGGACACTGGGTGTACACCGTACAAGGCAGCCGGGGACGGAAATGAGCTCGGTAGGTCAAAGCGTCGCTGGGAGTGTTTACTGAGAGGGTTCGAAGGGAAAGCCGAGGATGAGGTTGTAACCGTGAGCGATTGACGGAGCGTCGGCAGTGAGAGGAAGCATGGGGTAGAAGAGTAAAAGAGTTCCAAGGTTGCCTTGCCTGTGATCGGGCTACCAACGGGGTCTGCCACAGTGCCATTCTGGGGAAAGTTGTGGCGCAGTCACTGGCGGAACCGCGGAAGACAATTACACACGTCATCTGATCGTGGCGCTGTGGCTTTAAGGCTGAACTGCAGAATACGACGGAATTACGGAGACTGATTACTATAACATTCTCTTTAAAAATAGAATTCTGGAATGGAAGTTACGAAACAATTCCTATTGTTGTCAAGGGGTATCTAGATGTACATTTCACGGCCATCCTCGCGGATATGCAGCAGTATCTTCTTCCATCAAAGTGGCCGAAAAGCAAACACCGGCTCCGTAGAGCAAAAATCCATAAACTCGCTCGCCAGATGTATTAAGCTCGAAAAAGGAAAGCAAACTGAAGATAACCGGACATTCTACCAACCACTAGTCCAAGCCACTTCACTGTTTGACAAAGGAAAGCGCACGCGGAAGACAGTCGTTATCGGAAGTAGGTAGTCCCGAAGTAATACTGAAAGACAATAACAAAACACGATCATCAAACGTCGTAAAAAGATCCGGTATCGGGATCAGGGCATAAGGGTCATTCCGCGGGTCATTAAAGAGCGAAATGAAAGCCCAGTCGGAGATCCCAGAGAGAAATTTGAGGAAGCAGGAGGGTAGTTCGGAGAAGAGGGGGGAGTTATCATGTACATTCCACATGACAAGGAAGCTTCACAGAGGATACACCTCATGACGAAAGCTTGGCAAAGTGTTTATTCCATATCCAACCAACTTGGTGAGTTGAGTCATCTTGATTCTTTGCCAGCCATAATTCACCTTTCTCGGCGATGACATCGAAGATCTCACCCGCAACATACGTGAGATAAGGGTATCCAGCTTCGCGCCGGGCTCGGTCTATATTGAATTCGTAGATACTAGCGGCAAGGAATAAAACCGCGGGTTGTTTGGTCTGGTTGGATTCGGCGCCGGAAGCCTCTGGTGGGTTATCCGACATGGGCATTGCTGAAGAGAAGAATCCCGAATATCGAGCGGCAGGTGACGAAGGTTGGTTCTCATCCGCTGTGCTTTCGTTGTTTGAGGACTGTATAACGTCTGCTAGAAATGGAGAATCGAGGCTAAGTCTAGGAAGACTAGGGAAAGTTCCTGTGCTCGACTGTCCCGGAGGCACAGATGTAGCTGACGCACTGTTTACTTGGTGCAACACTTGCGTTCTGGGCAGTTCCGACGACTCAGTCCCCGGTCGGCCGGAAAAGGCTGAGTCGGCGCGATGACGGCCAAAAGACACTCGGGATTGGTTGTCAATGTCGGGTGACTGGAAGGAGCGGTTGCTAGCGCTAAAATCATGAGAGACTTTAGGCGACTCTTCCATTGCCCGAGTGCTAGAACTATGTGTTGTTGACGGCCGGCGAGGAGAGCCAACACCCTGTGCTGTGGACGGGGTGTTAAAGTTGACGAGATTGACCGAGTCTGCGAGCAAGGAACCATTGCAAATTCCAAGAGAGAGCACTTGCGACTCCGAGAAGCTGAACCGCGTTGTCCAATCATCGATGATTTTCTGGACATTTTCGGGGAAGGCGTCAATCAATGGTCCAATCTTTTTCTGTAGAACAATGAACCAGGTGGTCTGGATTTGGATAAAGTTCTTCAGACACGCTTCCATCAATTTGGCCGTCAAATTATAGAGTTTCGGAAGCTCATCTTTGAGGGTTTCATTGAGGGCAACAAACTGATCAGCTTGCTCGGCAGTCTTTTTGTCGGGTTTATCTCCTCGAGCGTTAATGCCTTTGAACCGAGCATAGTCCATAAGGCGCTTGTCGCGTTTCTTCATGACCTTCTGCGGACCTTCATGGAGTTTGAGTAGTGTAACCATTGGGTCTATCACACTCTTTCTCACAACATCGAGCTGTAACCCTATATTAGCAAAGGATCGTTTCTGGTTATCATCCTTCTGATACTCACATGTTCGGGCAAGGTCCCTGCCATAATGTCTTGAACAGATATCTTGAAAACGCGCCATTTCCCCTCAAGTTCAGGATAGCTGGTTTGGAAAACGTCAATGAACGCCTCGATGGACGAAACAAATTCAAGGAAACGCTCCATGGACTCCTGAGTCTCGCGAGTGTACGTTTCAGCGTCACGCATGACTACCTGTAGCTGGAAGAAATTGTCGCCAAATCTCTGGGCCAGAGAGTCGTAGTCTGTATCAGCAACCATGTCAGACAGGCCTACTTGCTGTCTCAATTTCTCCGTGCGACGACCAAACGCTTTAGAGAGGCCGATTCTAACGTCAGATTCTTTCCTCTTTCGTCCGACAACTTGGCCAACCACGTCTGCTCGTCTCTTCATTTCGTTGATACGGACGGAAATATTAGTAACCTCTTCCAAAGCCTTCACAAGTAAGGCATGGTCTGGGTGGTCCGACGGAGTTGAGTCGAGCAGTTCTGATATCAAAAGAGGGTACTTCAGAATCCGCTGTACTGGCTTGACAAGTAAAGAATCCAGATCCCAGGCGCTCGTAAGATCTGATGCCCATTCTCTGCACTCATTCAACCAGATCGACACATTTGTGCTCTGCTGGAGAACTTGAAGCTTTTTATTGGCAGCATCGTGGTTTTTCAGATACTCAGCATAGACCTTCTCCATATGGGCGATATGGGTCATAAAGGCCTGGCCAATACAGGTCGTCCGGTCCTTCTCCAATTCCGTTGGTCCTGCTCCCTCAGATGTTTCTGAATCGTTCTTGGAAGCGTGAAGAGTCCGCCCATTGCGCTTGCTACTCCAGCGTTGCGATTTAGGCATGACATACACACTTTTGGCTGCCTCTTTCAGTGCATCTTGGAAGAGCATAGAAAACTGCACAACTTGGTCGGAATTGGCAAAAAGGATTTTGATATCATCTGCAGATAAGTCCAAGCAGGAACTTGAGGTTCCTTTGTAGATATCATCAACAACCTTCATGTCTCTTCCAAATGTATATTCAGTATCGACAAGCTCCTTTATTACGTGTCGCCGTTTCTTTAAGCGGCGCTGATCAGGAGAGGGAGACGAAGTGTCGGGGCGAGGCTGTTCCAAGCTCGAAGGTACTAGCGAAGTCGCGGATGAATCCCTCGCTTTGGGGGAGGATGAGGCCGTATGCCGTCTAATGGAGTCCTCGCTGCTCGCGGTGCTTTGAACAGGACCAAGAGGCGCGAACGTAGCGGATTCTGAGGTACTCATGGGCTGCTGGGTAGGAGGAATACTTCCGACACGCTCCAGTGGTTCTTGAAGGACGCCGGTATCTGTTTGCGTGGTGGTTGGCGGTGGTGGAGGTTCGTGGAGAGGCATCGGTGGGATACTCGGTTCCTCGGGTGCGGGCTCCTGCGGCGATTGGATATTGATGGCTAGACCAAGACCCGTATTACCTTCTTCGATGTGCGATGTTTGAGAGTTCGAGGTTACAAGCGTTGGGGTTGGTGCACTATCATTTTGCGGGCTTGTATCATCGGTTTGATCCTGCGGTGCGGGGGCATCATCAGCAGCGATCTGCATCCAATCCATAATCGATGGAGATGCATGTTCCCAGTCATCTCGGAGGACCAGGCTAGCGGAATGAGAGTTTCGATGCGACGCGGGGATCCCATCAACCCTGGATACCATTACAGGGTCATCCGTCAAGCTGTCTGTCCTCCCATCCGCTCGTACATCACTTGTAGGCGGGCGTGGTTCAGGAGAGCGGCGAACATCAAGAGGGAGAGTGTGATCCCTGCCACGAGCAAGCTCTTCCAGATAAAGCTGCGTAATCTTCTTCGAGTCCCAACCACCAAGTTTGGCTAGACTTGGTGTTTTGGTATGCCCCTGAGTCTGGCGAGTATTCACATCCTCTTGCCTCTGTTCGTGTCCCACATCGATGTTTTGCTCTGTGGGGCTAATACCGTGTTTCCCGGCATCGGACGGAGTCATCGAAGAAGCAGAGCAAGACTGGGTCACCAGCTCACTATTTTCCGTGGATTGGTGCAGCTGAGAAAGGTCATCTCCGCTTCCATCACATTGGTCGTCGGTGGAATGTTGGTGGCGCAAGGATGAAGACCACGAGCCCATACTCCATCTGTTCGATATGTCGCCAGCATTCGGTTTACGCTGTGCATATAGATCTGACGTCTCTCCAGTTGTTCTACCGTGCATAGCGCCGTCGAAAGCTAGCTTGTCTCTTAGCAAAATTGGAATGGGCTGCTTCTCATCATTGTCAGAGAAACCATATTCCTGTTCGTCACACGAGGAGCTGCTGGGGCTCGATTCACGGATGCGCATAATCTCGCTCAAAAGCGTCCTATGAGATGTATGCACATCCTGTTGCGATATCGCGGTCTGCGGTTCTGGATCGAAAGTAGTCACGGGGGAATCCTCAGAGCAAGAAGCTGTAGAGGACTCCGGTGGTATATCGGAAGGTTTTGAGCCTCCTATATCCTTCTGGGCTAGGATTGGATGCCCTAAAGTGGGTGAGTCCATCGTTGTAGCATGGGAGTTATCGTTCGGAACGTTGGTGTTGACATGAAGTTGCGGGAAGGCCTCTACATCCTCTTTGCCTGGCGTTTCATCCTCACAAGGTTCCGTGGACTCTTCTATGACAGTCGCTGTATCATCTGCCGGGGAAACGGATTCTGGTGCCGCCGGTTCCTGTGCACTTGGTTTGGGTTTATGTGGTAGATTATCGTAGGGTTTTGAGAGGCTTTCTTGAACGGAAGCTCGACGGCGAAGCTCGGCTGCTTCTTCCTCTCTCCTTTCATTCTCTTTAACCGTGCGGTTGAACGCCTGCTGGATTTTCTGGCGTCGAGTTGCAAAGTCAACGTTCCCCAGTTCTGGTAACCTCCGCTCCCGTGGCCGAGGATTTCGCACTTCTCGCTCGCGGTGGATCTGCTTTTGAAGATTTGACACAGTTTCCCCAACTCGTGACCTAGATGCAGCGGTTGAATTGTGCGAAACGGGTTGGCGAGGTCGAGAACTGCGCAAGGGGGGCGACTTCTTTGGAGGTGGTGCAGCTATGTAGGCCTCCAGTAGGGGGCTCTTTTCGGGAAGTTTCGTCCGGGAGCGACCATAGCCCATTTCCCGCCTTCCGCGAGGTGGGGTTGGCGTAGTATTTGTGGGAAAAGCGGGTTGGCCATGAGATACCAGGTCTCCGGGAGATTTTGGAGACGGCTTGGGGAGACGGCTGAGGCCTTTGGGTGGAATATGGGTTTGTGTGTTGTGGTGGGTGGGTGAATGAGCTTTCGGGGACGGTGAAGAGTCGTCTGAAGGGGTAGGTGAATTCAGGCGGCGGGAAGAAACTGGAATGCGCGACTTGGAATGCGGCCTGTCCATGTACGTTCGCGAACTAGGATGCAAGGGGGCGGCGACCGCCATGTCAAAATCGAGCGGATGCGTATTCACACCCACTGGTGAATTCCCTGGTATATCACTCCTTGTTCGTCGATGTCGACTCGAGCTTTCCCCCGTGCTTACTGCTTCTAAGAAGGGTGTGCGTCCTAGGTACCACGCTGTTGGGGTCAACGGCGTTGCAGCTGATGACGGATCGAAAGAATCTAGATACGCAGGGTTGGGAGTAGCAATGCTTCCTTCAGAACCTCGACGTCGCAGGTGCGATGGGATCCCATATCCCTGAAGGTCTGTGTCGACTGAAAGCAACTCCCCAAATAAAGGCCGTCGCGGAAACAAATTCGATGGCTGGTTGTCACCCAACGAGCCGTTGTTCAAGTTCGTTGTGTTCAGCGCAGGCAGAGCGAAATGTGATCGAGGACCGCGGCCTAAATCTCCTGGCGAGTCCCACCGGGGTGCTGTTTGGTTCTGCGTTATCGAGCTACCGGTGTCTCGCCTGCGAGACGCCGCGCTAGGCCGTATGCTATGATCGATCGGAGCCGGGCTAGAAGCCCTGGACTGCTCTCGAGATGCAGAGGCGGATGGGATGGGGACGGGGAGGACGTGATCGACGTTGTTATTGAATTTGTTGATTAGGTCTTTGAACGAGTTTTGTTTAGGGCGCGCTGTCGAGGGCCGCACGGGCGAAAGACCGCTGGGAAAATCAGGCTGGCCTAAATAAGATGTGTCTGACACTGAGCGGTATTTCCCCAGGTTTAAACCTGACGGGTCCAGTGAATGGGTAGGCACCGAGGCCACTCGGGGTTGTGAGGTATTCACAGAGCGGGCATCCACAGCGGGGTTGGGCGTTTTGGACAGCGAGCCACCTGCTGCTCGGATCCCAGGGTCGTCCCCCGGAGGCAATGTAGGTGAATGGGAGCGATAGTATTCGTCAGGGTCGGGGGAGGATCGATGTTGGTGACGGTTGGGATAGCCGTTCGGAGCAACGGTCGCGGGTAACGCGAAACGTTGTGGATCTGAGACACCTTCCTGGGTGGTATATGTCGTACCTGACCGGGACAAAGTTGGACGAGGGGGTGAAAGAGTCAGCGAAGGGTCGTGGGCGCCATTATCGGAAAGAGCGTCATAAAAGCCATCTGCTGTGCTGGACGAGGACAGGCGCGGAGATCGGGGAGGGCCAGCGTCAACGAAGCCAGAAACGTGTTCGACATCGCTGCCGGACATTTTTCATGCTTGGGCGAGACCTTCTTTTTTCGAATTATTTTTCAGTTGAATTTTGCTTGAATTTCGCCAGAGAGGATCCTTCAAACAGAAATGGTTGGTGGAGATCGCTTCTGCTCAAGGATGCTAGTCTGCGATGCGTTGTTCACGGCCGGTAGCCACAGACAGTGTCGCAAATGGGCCAGCCAGAACTACAAGGCAATCGTCACCGGGTAGTACTACCCCAATACGGCGTCATATTTGAAATCCAGGGCAAGATCACCAAGGTCCGACGGGGGTGATCTGAGGTCTGTGACCCAAGAAGACGCAGCGAGTATTGACGTGCAGCAATTATAAGGGCAGGGCCAAAGGACGGTGTGGAGAGGTGCGTGGGATGGCGACAGGTGATAAGGCAGCCTGGAGGAAGACGAAGACGCGCGGGACAGGATGTTTGCAGGCGTCAAGCAGTAGGTCGAGCAGTAGCGAGGTGTTGGTGAGCAGGGGGTGAGGAGCAAGCAGAGACACTGAGGGGAAGTTGTCACAAGCGGGCCGAGAGGGGCTTATTGGAGGCCAAGGTACGGAGTAAGGTGGTTGGATCGGAAGCCAGGAACAATAATGGCGGCAATAATCGTCAGAATAGCCGGGGTTATTATTATATTATTATTGTTGCTATTCTCGAGAGAGAGCAAGGGAAAGAGGAGGACGAGAGAAACAGAAAACGGGCAGCCAGGATGGAAATACGTACTTCGTCGTCACTGGCGGCGAGCTCAACTCTGGAGCAAAGACATGGAGCGAGTGGGCCACTACAACAGCCTTGCCTCAAAGCTACTTTTCCCCATCGAGGACTTCGTCTCGTTACAAGCGTGATATCCATGTCCAATCCGCCCTCCCCCGAGTCCGCGCTCGCCTGTGTTGGCGCAGAGGTTTCACCTTCAAACCGCGATCGCCAGAACAGCCCTTCCAGCCGTGAGAATAATTCGACGCAGCGCCTCACCCCAGGATATCTGACTTCCAGCCTCGAGGGAGCCGACAAAGGATCTTAGGCCCGGAACTCAATCGGGGTGGTGTGTTTCTTTGTTTGAGTCCCCATTGGGCGTCGCTGAGCCCACACAGACTCTGCAGCCCACAAAGAACTGAGGCCTGATCGCCGATCCGAGTTCGATCATCTCACAAAACTCGAGCAAAGTATACTCCTAACAATTGGTCGACTCAGAGTCTCTCAGTGAGTCTTCACAGTTCACACTGAGGAGTGATGAGTCCACAAAACCAGGCACGAAACCCAGCAACTGCGTTGTTCTGGAAGGCCGACTGATTGGACATGATGCATTGGCAGCGTTCCACTCTTCCTCGAAATGCGATCCATCCATTCCTGAAGCTGGCGCTGTCAGAGCCTAGAACCTGAAGCCACGATAATTCTCGGCATTCTCGTCGATTCAGACACGGGATGGCGAAGATTTGCCGATGCTTAAAAGTTTTATTATTGTTGCCCTATTATTCTGGGGCCTGATTGACCTTGACGAGTCTCGCGTCTCATCTTGTGTGCGCCTTGGGGTGAACTTGTGATCGATAACCAACAATGGCCTTCAATCTGACACCTCTTACATGTGACGTCTGGATTATTTCATCCATCCATTCCCCAATCTCCAGATACTTAGCAGACCATGGTCGAATGGCCTCCTACCCTTCTCGTAGAAGATCATCCACCCCGATCCCTGGGTGAGGCCAGGAACAGTCGTCACGGCCGCAGTTCATGGCAGGCCTGGACCAGCGCTGCGGTGGGGAATCTGCGTGTGGCCGCCGGTGTTCCAGGGATCTGGGATCTCTAAAATTAATATTATTCCTTCCATCAGGCACACAATAATATCAGAATATAATTGCAATTTCCAAGCAATCGCGCGTCAGAAATTTCCCTCAAGAAGGCCCTTCCTGCTCTCCGGTGGATTCGGCCATCACACGGAAGACGCGGGTGCTTTTTGTGTTTGGTTTAGCTGCGTCGGCGGCCCGCGGAACTGAAAGTTTCTTCCACAGTTTCTTGCACCTGCGTCCGTGACAGAAAACGGGCGAAGTTTCTGCTCCCAGGAATAATAATTGTGATGTGACCTGTAGGCTTGGCACGCTGCGTTGCCACCTCTTGTTCCATAAGCCAATTTCCGCCTCTCCGTCCATTCCCTCGGGAACTTGATAGATGTCGCAGATGGGATAAATAGAGTTCGCGATGCCTCGATTAAGGCCGGCGAGATCATCATGCAGCTAGCAGTGCATTTCTTCCTTCTCGTTATTTCCCCATGCTTACCTTCGTTCTCTTGCACACTGAATAATCGGTAGGCAGCAGATTAAAGTGCTTATCGGCTTCAACTGTGTGACTATACCGCCAGTCGTCGCCTCACCCGTGGCAGGGCATCACAGTCGGCATGGCATACGGGGCTCCTGTCAAGTGGAACAAACTTGACGAGCCCCTTCTCCATAGGACCATAAACTCTCAATTTCATTCACATGGCAAATCATGGGTACATCTAGGCACTAATTCCTGCCCGATTACACCACCAGAGCCAACAGGGTCGTACCTAGTTGCCTTTTATCAGACACCAATCAGCCACCGCTACGTGATTCCAATGAGGTATCACCCTCCTCACACAAAACTCATCCGACAGGTGTCGAAAAAAATACGGAGTCGTGACTCCTGCAATTCGACCGGCAGATGTTTGATGAACCAGCTGAATCCAGTCGTTCACCGCACAAGAACCACATGTTTCCAGGAACAAGGCGTACGAGCCCGCAGTTCTGATTCGATCTACGTAGTCTGAGCAAGCTTGCAGGAGGAGAATTCCTCCGAAACTCCTGCAAAGACCCAATAATGGGTGGGTCACTGTATTGGCTGAGGTTGTGTTGCCCTGCGATATGGACCTGCCTGCCTGTCCCTGCATGAACGGGACCCTGGCAGCTGGAGTCTTCTTGGGGCACGGAGCGTGGAACTATGGAGTGGAAGTCCAGAGAACGTCTGATCAATCCACTACCCTGTTATCCCGTAGACCAATAGACTTCTGTTTCATGATTATGCTGGCGGAGTATTGTTGCGTTGTGACCATTGGCTATAATGTTGACATGCCGAAACAGTTAAGACTTCAACCCAGTTCAAAGACCTATTCCGCGTTTGCGGGCTGAGTCTGTCAGGTTAAGGCCGTGTTGTCAGAATTAAATTTAAGGATCTGAGACTAGTTTGACTATGAATGGGGACAAAAGGTGGAGGTTTCCCAGATACTCTGGCTCGAGGATCTAGTACCTAGTTATATATATTCGGTCTATCTGACAGTGGTTTCACGAAAACGCAACCAGCATCAAACCTCCTGCGCTCCTGACCACTTAAACAATGTAGACAGCAAGCTTATTATTTGACAATTCCAAAACACGATGAAGTTATTCGATTGACTCACATTGAGTGAGATGGAAAGCACCAGTCTGGATGTTGATCGCGGGAGCCAAGATACTGTGCTTCCGCCGCAATCCTCAACATCAGTATGCAATTGAGCTTATGCAGCAGGTTGCACAGCAGGGAAACCTTTATTTGAGTCTTTACTTATCAGTACTTGGGTTTATTAATGGGAAATACGACAATATCTGAGGGTTGCAGTTCTTCGAGCTTCCCCCTTCCCTCGCGTTACTCGCGCGTTCCTGCGCGTCGCACTCAACACGCTTCCCGGCTCAACTCACAACACAGGGTAGCCGCGAGACGGTGAACATAATATACTTCATGGAATGAGCTCCAGGTGCTTCTTTTGTTAAACCATGGGTAAAAAACGCAAGAGACCCGCCAAAGACAATCCAACGCGGGCGAAGTCATCACCACAACAACCTTCCAGTATCTCACCACACCACTTACAAGCCAATGGCAACCAACCCCCCAGTACAGCCGAGACCTCCCATCCGGTAATTTCCCTGTACTACCGGCAAGTGGTGACGCTGCGGCAGTACATCCTGCAGCGTATACCGAGATCATCCAAGTCGCGTCGGCGCAGAATCACAGCGGTGCGTGGCGGCGATGTAGCGGGGGACCTCAAAGATCCAGGCACTACGCAGTCCCAGAACCAAGACCTAGCTACTCTCCTAGATACGACTCTGGTTGGGATATGGAAAGAGCTCCCACCTACACAGAGCCAGGCACGGCGGCGGGACTTTGTTCAGTTCTCGCAGGCGCAAAGCGCAGCCGTGAGTCAGCTTGGTACTGATACTGGGCCTGCGAGTCCACAATCTGAGGTATGATATCGTCATCTCCCCGACGTTGATTAGCTTTCGAAGATGGCTAATTTTGGTTCTTGTCCAGGTTGTGGATTTTGTAATCGCGTCAGTCTTCGCCCAGAGGGAAGTCTTCCATGGCAGACCAGAAGACAAACACCTTCTGAGCCATGGATACAGGCGAGCGAGTCGTGGAATCCTCTGCAATATCCCTAATGTCGAGTCCTACTACCCCAACAAGAATGTCCGAATGCTTAAGCAATCGCCGTGGCCGGAGGTTCTTGCTCTGTTGGGAGGCAATGGCGATGAAATCATGTTGAAACTTCTACTTGACTGTGGGCTGTTTGTGGCTGTAGATGCGAAGAAGGGCGTCTATTGCCAAATAAGTGGTGGGTTATTAGCTGAATGGCAATGCGTTTCTGGATGCTTACTTTCAATCTAGGACTCCCGCTATCGAGCCTTAAGCCTATCCAAACATCACCAGAGAAAGACTCTGCTAACGCGGATGGCAACACTTCGTCTGTTAAAAAGGATCCTGCTGTCAAGCGCCCGACTGCCCAACCCAAACCAGACACGAGGTGTTCAAAAGACGGGGGAAATGGCAATCGTCTAAAACCTAACGCGATTGTATTTTGCCGTCAACGTATGCTATACGCCCGTCCTAAACTAGGTGCTAAGGGCAAGATCATTTTCGGCCTACCAAATCGTGGGTGAACCCAATGGAGATGACCAAGGCAATTAGCTGACCAGCTTGTAGACGTTCTTAGCCGATTTCCTTCATCTACATCGCTGCAACACACCATGCATGTGATGAAGTATATTTTCCCGCGACAGTTTGGCCTCCATAATGTATACACAGCTTGGTCGAACTATCGTGATAACCCTTTATTTAAAAACTATTCTTCTCGCGAGGATGAAATTGCCAGCAAAGAACGGCAGGTGCTTACTCAATACCAGCAGCATGTGGGCAAGACTGGGACCGATGGGGTTACGTCTGAGCAGCAGGTGTCGATTAAGATACCAAGAAGGCTTAGAGGAAACGCTCTAGAGCTGGTGCGCCAACTGCAAAACAGACATCGACGGTGTTGCTATAGTAGGCTTCTTCGATACTACTGCTCTGAGCAGGTATGCATACTGTCCTAGAGACTTGCCCAAATCTAATAATTATAGTTTTCCGACCATTGTACTTTGGGGCCACCCAGTGCTGAAACCGAGATGACATCTACTGCCGAGTCTTCAGGCTCAGGCCAACATATAACTCAGCCCTCAGTCGCTTATCCGGATATGCCAAACTCTCTTCAAGCAACCAATATGCTCTCGACAACAAATCCTGACAGAAAGCGCAAGCGGCGGGGCGCTTCTAGGCCAAAGATGAACTTTACTGACTATGCTACTCCAGCCGCATCTATATCGGCCTTTTGTCGAGCCGTCATTCAGAATTTGGTTCCAGCTGGGTTCTTCGGAGCCGGTGAACAGGGCGCCATCCACCAGAAAATCATCCTCCGTCATGTCGATAGGTTTATACACATGCGTAGACGTGAAAGTCTGAGCCTGCATGAGATCTGTGAGGATATAAAGGTTTGGAAAATCGACCCTTACCATTTGAGCAAATACTGACTTTGATGGAGATTACGCAAATACCTTGGCTTGAACCTCATAACATCAGTGATAAACCTTCAGAAGACAAGATATCAGCTTCTGACCTGCAGAAACGCAGAGAGCTGTTCCATGAATTCCTGTACTATCTGTTTGATTCCATATTGCTTCCCCTCATTAGGGAAAACTTCTACGTGACCGAATCACAAGTGCACCGACAACGCTTGTTCTATTTCCGACATGATGTGTGGTGCCGTCTTACCGCACAGCCACTAGCGAATCTCAGGGCTTCCATGTTCGAGGAGTTGACCCCAATGAAGGCCCAGGAATTATTGTATAGCAAGAAATCACTTGGGTACGGCTCGTTAAGACTGCTCCCTAAGTTGACGGGGATACGGCCCATCCTGAATTTGAAACGGCCTAGCCAAGTCAAGAGCGGCTGGGGGGGTCAGGCGCGATATAGCTATGTGCAAAGTGTGAATTCGGCAATCGCGCCTGTCCACAACATGCTAAACTACGAGAGAACTAGAAGAGGCGATATACTTGGTTCCGGAATGCTCTCCGTGAAAGATATTCACTCCCGACTGAAGGTGTTTAAGAAGTCCTTGGTCGATAGGGGGTTGCACTCGCAGACACCGCTTTATTTTGTGAAGCTAGATATTCAATCTTGCTTCGATACCATACCGCAGCAGAGTCTGGTGCGTCTTATCGAGAAGTTGGTCACTGAGGAAGAGTATAGCTGGATGAAATACGTGCAAATGCTTCCGAGAAATGAGTTCGGTGACATGTGGCCGATGTATAACCAGGGAGAGCATAACAAACCGTGGAGGAAATTTCTTGAGAGATTCGCCTCGCTAGCGAAGCCACAACATCTAGCAGATGCTATTGCTAGCGTGGGTATGGCGGGGGGAAGAAATAGCGTCTTTATCGACACGACGACTAGAAAGAAGAACTACAGTAGCGAGGGGTTGCTTGATACTCTCAACGAGCATGTTCAAAACACTCTCGTCAAGATAGGAAAGAAACTCTTCCGGCAACGGAACGGCATCCCGCAGGGTTCGGTGATGTCTAGTCTTCTTTGCAATCTGTTCTACGCAGAGATGGAGCGCAATGAGCTCGGTTTCCTAGAGACGGACGATGCCCTCTTTCTTCGGTACGTCGACGACTTCTTACTCATTACCTTGGATTCCGGCGTTGCGATGGACTTCCTACGAGCGATGCTCAGAGGACAACCGACCTATGGCGTCTCTGTCAACCCAGCAAAGAGCTTGGTCAATTTCGCGGCATCCGTAGACGGCATGCAAATCCCGCGACTCGTCGACACATCGCTCTTCCCCTACTGCGGGTGTCTCGTTGAGACGCGAACGCTGGAGATCTTCAAAGACCAGAACCGAATGCTCGACGGCGCCGATTCAGCAGCTGCCGCGCTCAGTGACTCTCTAGTCGTCGACTCTACGCGAACCCCGGGGCGGTTCTTCCACCAGAAGGTCATCGGATCGGTCAAGCAGTCCCTCCACCCGATGTACACAGACACCGCACACAACTCGCTGCATGCCGTTCTCCTAAACATATACAAAGCATTTGTGGGCGCTGCAATGAAAATGTACCGCTATACCCGGTCCCTATCCGCCCGGGCGCATCCACGCCCTGACGTCGTGATGCGCACCATCCGCGATGCGACGCAGCTGGGATATCGACTGATTCGAGGCCACCATGGGCGTTGCAAGGTCACTTATCATCAGATACAATATTTGGGGGCGGTGGCGTTTCAGTTTGTGTTGGGGCGGAAGCAGACACGGTATGCGGGCGTGCTGTGTTGGCTTGACGGGACAATCACAGAAGCGCGGGAAAGCAGCCCAGGGAGCGGCGCACTGCTGGCGCAGGTAGTGCGGACGGGGAATCTTACGTATGGGGGGTGGCGCTTTTGACCTTGCGGTCTCCTTTCCGCTCCAAAATAGAAACATGGGTGCCGGGAATCTACTGTGGTGCCGATGGTACGCAGGGCAGAGATACTAGTAGGCAATAATGAAGGGATCAAGGGATCGAAGAGGGATGGAGTTGGCCTCAATGCAACGAACACAATTAGTAATAATGAAAGATGCCAGTCTTTCCAGCTAACTACTAATAATAATCGCGAAGTTCCATGGTAGATAGCCGAGATGTAAGAGATTTGTGGTATGGGAGGGCGTTCCCACGGAACTGCCGTGAGTGGACGAGCAGCACAGTGGACGAACAGGAAAGGGGGTGGCAATTCCATAGAACAACAAACACCATGCAGTCCCTTCTTGTCAACTACCAGTAGACCAGGGCGTGTCTCTATGGTTTTATCCTCGCTTTCCAACTTGCAAGGCTCGAATTATCACTGGAGTCGAACAAGCAAACCCGCACGTGTGGATATGCGGTGGCGTGCCTTGGAACAGCCGCTCGCTCCTTCATCTCAGCAATGGAAATAACGTCGCGACTCCGCACTGAGTTGGCCCCTAAACTGGTTTGATGCTGATCGCCGCGCGCAGCAAATGAAAAGCAGGACAGCGAGTGTCTGGACCGCGATCGTCTACGATCATTGGAGAGCGCAACAAGCCTCAGGCATCAGTGCACGCCCGTCGACCGGAGTAGACCCTTAGTCTCTGCTGTGTTCGGCTGAGATCCTGGAATGGACTGCGCTCGGTGATGGAATCATCTCCCGCTCCCCCATTCTTCGCTCTTTTCGTCCCCTTCGTGGCTTTTCACGACCTCTTTCGCTCTTCGGTTTCGATCTTGTCTTTCGCTTGCGTCGTCGACCTTCCTTTCTTTTTCTATCTTCCGACCTCGCCGTCTCTACCCTCGCTCTCCCTCCCACTCGCTCCTCCCTTTTCCTATCTATCTCTTTCTTACCTCCCACCCCTGTTCACCCTTGGCAGTCTAGTGGCTGCATAACGCGCTGGAAACCGCAGTCCTGGATACCAGTCCTGGCTATTGACTGGTGATTAATGGCCCTGTGCCTCCTTGTGGAATATTAATATAACGGCGCTGTTGGGAAGCTCGAGTTCCCCCCCGTCAGACCTTCGTTTTTGTTTCTCCCGGCCCGCACATTTCTCGCCCGCACAACGCGATCGATCGCCTCTTCGACAAACAGCATACCACTACTACAAGTATACCGCTACTGAAGCGTAATAATTATAATACACCCAGTCCGACCACACCGGTGAGTCGAGGCTCGAGACTACATTACCGACCGCTATGACGGCCGTTTTCACCGCACCGAACTCCCCACCCGAACTCTCAGGGTCCAAGTCCTCCAAGTCTTCGTCTTACCGATCCTCTTCGCGCATGTCTAGCCCCGACGGGGCCTTTACAGATGTTGGGAACTTTGAAGAAATTGGCCTAGAAGATGAATCCGCGTCATATATGCAACCTTCTGTTCCCTATGGCCGAGCCCCCGGGGTCGCGCGGGCCTCGACAGCGAGGATGCTCGCCAAGTCACCGTCCTCGAATACTCGCGATCTAATCTCTAATTCTCCGAGAAGCCCGTACCCATCACAGACGCGTCCCGGTCCAAAACTCATGACTAGCTCGCGTGACCTGCAAACCCCGCGACCGTCATCGAAGACTCGTCGTAATCGATCTGCTTCACCCCTCCGACCCTCACCGGGCATCGCCTCATCCCCTGCAGCATCAACACAGACTCTATCCCCATCGCCCGCTAATACTCTATCTCTTAATCGGAAACCGTCGTGGCAGCGCAACCGCAAGTCGCTGAAAGAGTTGGAGGAAGAATACCATGATTCAGATGACGAGCTTCCGGAAGATGCCAGCTTATGGAATATCCCTATTTCTCCACGGCCAGCTGAGGACCGTGCTCCGTCCAGAGACCACAGCCCTAACCGGCAGAGCCCTGGGCCTCGGCCTTTCCCTCTGTCGCATTCGGTCTCTGAGGCGTCTGTTGCAACCCCGGCTCAACTATCGCCCGCTACTTCTCGACCAAATCGACAGATGGTCCGATCTAGCTCGGCTGGTCCCGAACGCGGCCAGATCTCACCTCGGAACCCGCGCCTTTACTCTTATAATAGCATGATGTCCGACCTGTCCGAGGAGGCGAAGAACCTTACCCAGGCTCTGGAATTTCATGCCGATGAGAGTGATCGAAAGCGTGGAGATAGCCTCCAGAGCGGAACCTCCTCGCTGAGATCTAGTGATGAATCGAAGCGAGACTCCAAAGCCGTAATTGAATTGCCGCCTGTTCAAAAGTCCAATATCATGATCGACCCATTGCCCATTAGCAAGGAAAAGGAAAAGGTTCTTACACGCACTCGTCCCAGTTGGCTTCCTCCAAAGGACCAGAAGGAGGAAAAGCGGCATCTCAAGGAATATAAGCGAATGATGGAGCAGTCTCGGGAAGCAGAAAAGCGTAAAGCTGAAAAGGCGGCTTCAGCCAAATGCGAACGAGACAACACCCGCGATACGCTTCAGCAGATTTGGGATGATTACGTCTATCCTAACTGGACAAAAGCCATTGGCGAAACTCGCACACGCGAGCTGTGGTGGCGGGGTATACCATCACGTATCCGAGGGTCGACCTGGAGTCGTGCCATCGGGAATGAGCTGGCTCTGTCTGATGAATCGTTCAACAAAGCCCTCAAGCGAGCTAAGGATGCTCGTGCCAAGTCTGAGGGCGACTCGGGCGAAAGCAATAAAAGACTGATGGAGTGGTTTGACTTGATCCAGAACGATGTCTCGAATGCTTTCCCGGAGCTGAACCTCTTCCAAGAAGGCGGTCCGCTGCGGGAAACCTTGGTTGATGTGTTGGAAGCATACTCCATGTATCGAAGTGATGTAGGATACATGAGAGGTCTTCATGTTAGTTTCCCCCTACCGTTGCAGACAAGTCGACTCTAAAGCTAATAACCCACAGACAATTGCCGCGCTTCTCGTGCTTCAATTCCCAACCCCTTCGTCCGCTTTCTGCGCTATGGCGAATGCGCTTAACCGACCTTTGCCCGTTGCATTTATGACTATGGACCGTGGGGCGGTTGGGCGAACTTACTCCCTGGCGTCCACGACGCTTCGCTACAAGTTCCCACGCCTGGCCACCCATCTCTATGAAACTTTGCGTCTATCGGACGAGGAGATCTTCGAAAACATGTTCCGGTCGCTTCTCACCAACGGCCTTGACCTAGAGCGTCTCAGTCGTGTCTGGGACTGCTGGGTCTTCGAGGGTGACCGCATCATGATTCGTGCTGCAGTTGCAATTCTCGGCTGCCTGCAGACGCAATTGTTTGGCTTCACCAAGCCGGATGACCAAAGCCGTCTTGCAGCTAAGAACATCCTTTCCTGGGGACCACACGACGTCGGAGCCCGGCCTAAGGAGCGTCGTAGTGCTCCTGCAGCTCCTGTAGCAGGATTTGGAGGTGGACTGGCTAGTGCGGGCGATTACTGGATCCTGTCGTCTGCCGGTGATGAGGACGGGTTCATGACTGAGATGCGAGAGGCGGGCAAGGTGCACCCGCAGGCATCATAATAAGGGTAGGCATCAGAATACTCTTATCCCTCGTTTAAATACCCCAAAGTATACGAGACTGGAACGAATACGAGCCCCAAGCATCGCATGATTGGTTGCGAGGACTTGATTTTCAAGAACCTTCACTGTACGAAGCATTTTTAATCCACTTTTCCATGAATTAGTTTCTCATCAAATAGGTAACTAGATTAAGCCCATTGGTCAATTCGTAAACTTGAGGCATCTTAGCATTTGCTTGTCACAGCCTGCATAACTAATTATAGTTAGCTCAACTAGTTAGGTCATGATGCATTGCTGAGTCATCTGCATAATGATATCATCACTATCGATAAGCAGTTAAGCATTATCACATGCCAGGAATTTCCGCCTGCAAACAGCTCCTACACTAAGATCGACCCCCAGCGGTCACGAGTAGATCGATGATATCCAGACTACGCAACAATGGGGTACGGACCAGACAGTCAAAAGACGGCGGCTCGAGCCGGCCTCGAGCCAATTGAGATTATTATTCCTTCCTATCTTTCATGTTTATGCTCACTTAAGTGAGAATCGAGGGGCTACTTCCGGGGCACCCGGAAGGAAGGCTGTGCAGTGGACCCTTCTCGTTTTCTGTCTTCCCTGTTCGTCCGGTCCATCCATCGCCTCCCAAATCAAATCCTCGAGTCTTCTTTTCCCTTCTTTTCCCTCGGCTTGTTTTGTATTATTTTTCATTACCTATATATATATTGTTATCGTCATCCTTACCTATTCCCTGTTCTCCGGCCCCGACCTTGCTTGGGATGTCTCGTCAATTCACCCGACGATGCATAATTCCTCTCATCGCCCGGATGCAATCACCATCCCCCACAATGCCCGTATCAACCCCAATGCCAGTCCCAATGTCAATGGGTATCCCACCAGCGCTCTCGGCGGGGAGCTGAATGGAGACAGCCCCTCCGACAGCGAGGATGCAAGCGCCCCCCATCCCGCCAACATGGCTGAGGAAGCCGAGGCCGACGACGTAATCGGTGTCAGCATGGGCTATGACCAGAGTCGGCTGAAGTCTCGTTCGACGCCAGCGGAGGAGAAGACGCGCATTATGGAGCGCAATGGCGGCTTCTTTGAGAACGAGGGCATTTTTGCGCCGGACATCACAGAGGAGCCAGAGGGATTGACGGACGACAGTGGCAACAATAATGTTTATAATGATAAGGATGAGGGGCGAGCTGGAGCTGGAGCCGTAGCGGGTGGGAAGGCCACTACGACTCCTGCGCCGATCAAAGATGGACAGGGACATGGACCCCGGACGAGCTTTACGAGGTCGCTTTTGAAGAGCACCCTGCCGTTAAGGCCGCGTGCGTGGTCGGGAGATAGCCATGCGGGCAGCCGGCTGAAAAAGTTCTTTCCGTCGTTGCATTTGAGGACCGGCAGCTTGACGTCGGTGTCCAGGAATCGCTCGCGCAGTTGGTCGTCGCGGCTTAATTTGGACCAGGATGGTGGTAGTGGTGGTAATACTGGCGGCGGTGGTGAGGGAGGCGTGCCTGCAGTGCCTCGGACACCGCAGCGTTCGCCGGAGCCTACTGCAAGTTTACCGTCTTCAAATGGTACACAGGTTGCCACTGATACCGCTCCTGCGGAGGACCCGATCGGCGAATTGAGGCCGTTGCAGGCCCCGTCTGCGAGGACTCGCGGCAAGCATTCCTTCGTCGGTTCGAACCCAACCCTGCGTCGGTCGTCCTCGGACCAGTCGTTGTACCTGCGGGCTTCGTCTACTGCATCATCGCTCGAGCATCGTCCTCAGTACGAGCATATCCATTCCCAGACGAACAGCCGGTTTAAGGCCATCAAGGATACCCTGCAGGATTCGAGCAGTCGGCTTCTGAGCATGCCCACTCTTCACTTACAGGACCTGCGCAGCGATTGGGGCTACAGACAGTTTCTCTCTGATGCTTCCCACCGCAGGGCAGAGACGGACGAAACAGGCGCTTCACCAGGGTTAGCTGCGCCGCTCGAGACTCGTGCATATCCCGAAGACCAACCAGCGAATTTAACGATGCCATGGGCGAAGTCCCCTCGCTCGAGCTTGGCCGTAACCAATCCAATCCTCTATGATGCTATGAACCAGCTAACCGGAGATGTGGTGGTTATGGGTGGCTATCGGGGTTCAATCCTACGCTCGGCCAAGCCACCACACCGACAACTCTGGGTTCCCATGAAGGTGGGACTCAATCTCCGGAAGGTGGACCTTGAGGTTGGTTTGACACGTGAAGACGAGGAACGCATGGAAGAGAGCATCATTCCCGATGGAGTGCTTTCGCACGTCGGTCCCGTAGATATCTGTCGGCGACTGCAGAAGCGGCTACAGAAGTGCGAAAATACCATCCGCGGCGACCTACGCGTCCACGACTATGGCTATGACTGGCGACTTAGCCCTCATCTCCTCTCGAAACGCTTGATAAAGTACCTTGAGGGTTTGCCCTGCAATGCTCCCGGCGTTCCGCCGCACAAACGAGGCGCATACGTGATTGCCCACAGCCTCGGCGGCCTAATCGCCCGGCATGCAGTCAACCAACGACCCGAGCTCTTCGCTGGTGTCGTTTACGCTGGTGTCCCACAACACTGTGTCAATATTCTCGGACCCCTCCGCAATGGTGACGACGTCCTCCTCAGTTCTCGCGTCCTAACCGCGCAAGTCAACTTCACTTTCCGGACTAGTTTCGCCCTCCTTCCCGAAGAGGGCCACTGCTTTCTCGACAAGCGGACAAAGGAAGATTACCGTATCGACTACTTCGACCCGGATACCTGGGACGAATACCGCCTCTCCCCTTGCATAGCCCAGCCTCTACCGGTGCCCACTTCATCAAGCGCCCTCAACCTTCCTCTCCGCAAGCGCTTCTCCACCATCCTGTCCAACTCCTCAGCAGACGACAGCACATACCTAGACGACTTCACACCCGCCTCCCCCACAATCACCAACGGCAGCGGCGGTGGCCATAGCCGCAACAACTCCTCGACTACCGCAGCAGCCGGAGCAAACAACTTCAAACCCATGAATCACCTTCCTCCAAAGGGCGAAGGACTCCCCGGTCCTACCACAAACCCGAAGGGTTCATCCTTCTCAACCCCAAACACTCAACCTATCACCCTCCACCCAGCCGCCGCGCGAGAGTACCTCGCGCGCACACTCGCAGAAGTTAAGGCCTTCAAGCGCGAAACCCTCCATAACGACGCCCACCAGCAGAGTAATAAGTACCCGCCCTTCGCGGTATTGTACTCCAAATCCGTGCCAACAGTGTACGGCGCTCGCGTCGCTTCTCGCGAAGCCATCAAGTACGCCGATGCGTATGATGATCTGGCCTTCGCGGCTGGTGATGGGGTTTGTCTTGCTAGCGCGGCGATGCTACCGCACGGGTATAGGGTTATTCGCGATGGGCTCGTCAAGTCTGAGCGCGGTCATGTGGGCCTGTTAGGTGATTTGGAAGGCGTGGGTGCTTGTTTGAGGTCGATAATTCGAGGGCGGAAAGAGGGTGTTGGGATTGATGGGCTTCCTCTAGCTTCGGAGTACTGATGCCCGTCTCTGCTTACGCTTATGTAAAACGAATGTCCATAATTGATGGGTTTTGATTGTATATTGTGGTATGGTGCCGGCGCCGACGGGCGCCGGAAGTCGGTGCTGGTGTTTCTTGGCGGTTTGTTATTGATACCCTGTCATATACCTATATACGGACATATTATTATATACCCATATCTATAAATAATATTGTTATTAATATTATACATGCATAAAAAAAATCCATATTACTTTAGATGATATATTTCTCGAAGGAGTTTTGTTTATATAAAAATATGCAAAACGGAGTCCTAGTCAGCAAATTAATCCGAATTGTATATGCTGCTACCCAGTTCATCCATAAATGCAACCACTCTAAACTTTTCTCCAAGCATAAGCGTGGACACCTACAAAAAAAACAACTCACAGATCCAGCATATATAGCAGACAACCCAGAAAATATCTAAATAAGAAAAAAGCAGAAAGACCTAAACGATAAAGTAAAATAAGAAGCCGAACATTCTATCACAGGGCAAGAAAAATCCCAAACAAAAAAAAGGCCATCATAAGAAGCGCAAAAGGTTTTCAAAAAGTAAAATTAATCCGTCCGCGAGTTGGCAATTCCCAGCACCAAGATGTCCGTAGCTCCAACTTTAGTCAGATCATCCATCACCGTCGCGATCTTCTTCTTCTCGACCATCGAGCTCACAGCCACCCAGCCATCTTCTTCAAGAGCTGTAACCGTGGGCGCGCGCTTGCCCGGTGTGATGCTGCTTGCGGTTGAGAGGCTGGCGCGGGGGATGTTGTATTGGCAGAGGACGAATTTTTGAGCGGCTATTTGGGGGAAAGTAGTTAGTATGTATAGTCATCTCTCACAGGGGATAAACTAGATATGGAGTTTGTAGGGGAACGTACTGATAACACCGCGGATACGGGAGGTGATCAAGTCAACGAGTGGGTTTGTGGTGTTTTGGTTCTTGACGAGGATGGCAGTACTCTCGACGACGGTGTCGATGGCCTTTAACCCGGCTGCGCGCATTGTCTCGCCGGATTCTATCCCAATTGTTTAGCTTCCCAGATCTCAGAGAGAAGAATAGGTAGGAGGTAAAACTCACCAACAAGATCGACAATACCATGAGCGACACCGAGAGCACAAGCAGCCTCCACGCTTCCACCAACGTACTTGATGTTCGTCTTCTTCTCCGCAGCCCCGTGCTCCTTCTCAAGCCCAGCAAAGAACTGCTGGCTCAGGGCCGTAAAGCTCGTCACCACATTTTTACCAATCAGGTCCTTAGTAGTCTGGACATCTCCCTTCTCCGGAACCTGGACCTGGAGCTTGCACCCGCCAAACCCTAGATCCAAAATTTCTTGCACGCTTGATGGCTCGTTTTCAGGAAGGCCAAGTTGCGCATCATGTTCGGCAACCTGGTCGCGCCCTGTAATACCGAGATCGACGCGACCCTCGCCAATGAAGGTGGGAATGTCTGCGGCGGGGAGGAAGATAAGTGCGATAGGCAGGTTCTTGACCAAAGCGAGGTCGAGGCGGTTTTCGCGGCGGAATTGGATATCGCAACCGGAGAGCAGGTCAAGGGTTGCTTGTTGGAGACGGCCCTCTGTATGGCATTTTGGTTAGTTTGGGCTGGGATAGCTCTTTTGGAGGGGCAATCTTTTTTTAGGAGGGGCGGAATGACTCAAGCCGCATGGATGCGGGCGCAGGATGGGACTGGGAACTTGCTCTTGGGGACTGCGAAGAGAAGTCTTCCTTCTAGGCTGTGTAGCAGGTTAGTATATAGAGCAAGTCGCAGAAAAACGTAGATTGCCAGAACAATTGACTCACTGGTTGACGAGGTCCATTCTGAACGGTGACCGGACTGAGCGCGGGGTAGATTCTGCGAAAATGGGAATGAGAAAACGTCGGTGAGTAGAGCCGCGAAAAGGTGCGGAAGGGTTCAATTGGGCGAATGGTATATTATATAGCCCTGGTTTCAAAGGGAGACAGCGCGAGTCAATTGAGAAAGAGAAGAGCTGAAAAGAATGAGGATACACCGAGACTGATGAATTACTCAAGCCGCCGGCGGGGCCGGATACTCCTGCCTGAGGCATGAACTATATGCCTACTACATCGGGTACTAGTGCTCCGTACTATATCCAGAGTCACGTTGAACGAATCACCTAGCTTTCAATGGAACGTGCTCCCAAAAATTCAAGGATATAGTCGAACCCCTCGGGCTCCTTAATCCAATGACCCTCTCCCTCTGCACCCGTAAACTCCTTCCACTCAACGTGTTCCATGACCTCTCGCAGAATTCGAAGCGATTGGCGACCCAATTCTACAGGTACCCAAGCATCGTCTGTGCCGTGGCCTAACAAAACCGGCGTCGAAAAAACGGATGAGACGCCGTCCTCAGCGCTCATTTCCGGGGTAGCTTCGGCGATACCAATTGTAGTAAGAAAGAGATCGGATACCAGGCGCTGCATTTGAGAAAGAGCGCGGCACGTATTCGTTGCCTTTGACCGTTGAATCAAGCCTTCAGCCTTGTCAGCAAAGGGCAGCCAGCCACAGAACCCCAATATTCCACCAAGCGGCTGATTGATGATGTCTCTAGCGCAGAAAACCGTCGACAGCGCAGTTGCCATCCCTTGGCTGATACCTCCCAGATAAACGTGGCTTGCTCTCCCGTCAAGAAGATGTATCTCGCTTTCAAGAATGGCGAGTATATGAAGAACAGACTCTCTCAGCCCTTCTACTTGCAGATCCTGTCGTTCTTCGATGTTGCTCAGGGAGTATGCATCGAACCAAGCAGACATCTCTTCTTGAAATGCAGTGGTCCATCGGTCTCGTGAGGACGGAAATACCCAACGCCAGTTCGGCAGACAAGCAGCCATATTTTTGTTCTTGGAGGTCACCGAAGAAAAGAAATCCTCAGCAAACTCCGGGCCATCGCTCCCGCGGCCATGAAGCAGAATAGCAGTGTGAGTGTGGATGCCCTTGTGAGGGTGGATATGGGGGGCGGGGAATTCCATCTTCTCAAGGGGATGGCTGAGCCAGTATTTCGCTGGCCTTTCAAATCGTAGGGTTTGTTGCTTTCAAGAAAAAAGCATATGCAAGTCACAGAAGACGTGTCCCGCAGCCGTGGGCGCTTACAGGAAAGACTATTATTGGATACCTATTTCCTGAATCACCAGTCACTGCTGGCCAAACAACGGCCCAACCCTATGTAGACATGAATTCTTACACCATAGCATTAGTAGTTACAGTTCCTGCATGCTGCTGACAAGCCTCTCTATCGTCCCTTCATCGGCTGATCCCATCACATCTCCAACCGTGTTAACAAGTCCTGCAAGTCGACGGCGACGGATTCTCTCCTCTAACTCTGCACTCTTCTGCTTGGCCATTTCTAGGAGCGACGATGGCAGATTCGCCAATCGCGCAACATTCAAACCGTAGCTTCGATGCGCCACACCCTCTCCAATCTCGTAGAGGAAGGTGATATCTTCCTCCACTCCAGTACCCGACTCACTGAATCGCATATGCACGTTCCGCAGCTCGTTATCACTGAACGAGTGCACCATTGCCGAGAGATGTTGGTAATGCGTGATAAAGAGTGTAAGGCTCCTAATAGACCGCACCATGTAGTCGAGGACAGCTTGTGCAATTGCAACTCCGTCGTGAGTGGAAGTACCTCGTCCTAATTCGTCCAGAATCACCAGCGAGCGCGGCGTCGCCTGTTTCAATATGTCGGCTGTCTCGGAAAGCTCAACCATGAATGTAGACTCGCCTGCTAGCATATTGTCGAATGCACCCATCCGGGTAAACACCGCATCCAGCATCCCAAGTTTCGCCATCTGCGCGGGAACATATGAGCCGATCTGTCCCATGATAGCAATCAGCGCTACCTGGCGCACGTAGCTGGATTTTCCGCCCATGTTAGGTCCCGTTACCAAGAGCGCGCGCGTTTTGTCGCTGTCCAGATCAATGTCGTTAGGTACATAACTATCCAACAAGAGTTGTTCTACCATCGGATGTCGCCCTTGCTCAACATGGATGCACGTATCGTCCGTATATTCAGGCTTTACGTAGCCCGGCTGGCTGGCTATCGTGGCTAAAGAAACCAGACTATCTAGAGTTGCCAGAGACTGCACACAGTCTCGGAGGGCCTGGTAATTGGCTGCTATATCTCCTTGGAGGGCCAGGAACGCTTTGTCGCAGGCTGCAGCAAGTGCCTCTCTATGTTGATCTCTCTGTCGGATCAACTTGATCACTTCCGGTGTGTGGAATCTTGACACCTTCTTTGTGCCGCTGATTTTCACCCACGATGCTGGCACTCGCTTAATTGCTGGCGAGTTGTTCTCAACTTCAACCAAATAGTCAATGCCCGCCACCGAGGCGTAAGTGACTGTTTTCTTTCCCAACGCTTCTCCAGCTTTCGGTCGATGCTCCTCAAGTTCATGCTCAACGGCACCGATTCCAAGCTTGTGCTCGCTGATCTCCTCGGTCTCTTCCTCCTCGCGGAAGAAGGCATATTTGTCGTCATTCTTAGCTGCATGCATGTTGATCTTATTCAAAAAGGACACAACATCTTGTAGAATGGTCGGCAGGGACACAATGGCCTGGCCGATGACAGGAGATGAGAACCCTGTATCCGCTGGTGATTTGGTATCTGCGAATTCTTGCGCGACCATTTGCATTGTCTGCAAAATGGTGAGGAGTTCTGGTCGAGAGCACTATTTTTGTTAGAATAGGTCATAACGCAAAGCATTTTTATACACACCTTTCCGTAATATACTCGGATCAAGCCTTTCTCCAAGTCGTGCTTGATCTTTCCGAGTAAGCCCTTAATCCGCTCGGCCAGAACGGTGTTTTCCGGATTCTTCAGCTCCTCCACAGCGTTGACTCGATCCTCAAGTTGATGCTTATCCAGTAACGGCCGCCCCACCCATTTTCGAAGCAAGCGTTGCCCGAACCGAGTTTGTGTCCGATCTAATGTCCAGAATAGACTACCCTTGGCAGAATGATCTGTCTGATTCTGGTAGATCTCAAGGCTTGTGAGGGTGTTCCCATTGAGGAGCATGTGAGAGCGTGAAGAGAAATGCTGGAAGTACTTCGTTAATTGCAAAACGTGCTCCAAGCCGTACTCGGTCATGTGTGTGATCATAGACGATAAACATATCGTTGCTTGGTCCGGCAAGTTGAGCACTTTCTGGAGAAGGTCACTGGCGACTTCATCGTCCGCGGCATCCGCAGATTTCATCTTCCCTGCGTAAAAGCTCGAAACATGGTTATGTGATTCAGCCGCCGCGGTTCTCTCCTTCGGCGCCCTTTCGACCCGGACTTCGTCACCAAAAACGTTCATTTTGCTCCCAGAAATATGCTGCACAAGCTTCTCCGTTGCCTTTGATAGTGTGCCAACAATTAAAAGTTCGCATGGGGCAATATGGAGCAGTCGCGTTTCTATCTCGCTGCGCATGAAGCCGTCATCGAATTCGTCGTAAACGATATCGCCCGTAGTCGGCTGAACAGCGACAATACCCACGTGTACTTTCTCATCATTCCCCCAACCCCGAGCATTCGTCTCCGTTATGCAAAGAATATAGCCAGTGGCAGAGGCACCAGACGTTCCAACTGTAGATCCCTCAAGGCCCTCGATATCATCAATGTAGGTACTTTTTGTGTAAACGTTTGTCAGTTTACGAACAAACGGTGCGTTGCGGTTATCTCCAGCTGCTTTAAGAGCGGCAGTCTCCAATTGCCTAACAACACCCACTTTATGTCCGGCGGTGACGAGGCGCTTTACATGAACATGTAGTCGCTGCGTGGGTATACTTGCGGAGGCAAAACGGTCGAGGTGGGCTTCTGACGGATCTAAATGACATTAATATCCCAAGCCGAGGCATCATCGTAGAAGGAGATGCGGACTTACGTTCGTCATATCGAAACTTTCCAGGAATGCAAACAATGCTAAGCTCCTTCGCAGCAACCCTCGCATCTTCACCGAAGAACCGGAACTTGTACCCAACCTCGACAAGCAGTATCGTGTCCATGTGCTTCTTTTTGATCTCAATTATTTGCTTCTCCATTGGCGTGAGTTTACTTCCGCCTTTCTTCCCCGCTGCCTTGCCCTTCCGTGGAGGTTGCGCCGCCTCTTCATCTTCCTCGCCTTCGCCAGCCTCCTCCATAGGAGTCGTGTCACTGACACTGTTGCGACCAATTCCAACAAGGCAGTCCGGCCCACCAAGTCTCCGAACGAACTTCTGATGTAGTTTCTCTCTCTCTTTCTGCCGCGCTTTTGTCTCCCCGTTGTCTAGTTCACTCGCCCCCTCTACCGCCGTATCCACAGCAGGTGAACTTGTAAATTTCGAAAGCTCAGTCCGCTGGCTACTTGCAGGCTGCGGAGCCTGCTCCGCGTGAGACACCGGCTTCGCCTTTGGGCTTTGCTTGTGGTTTTCTTGTTGCGATCCATTTGATTTCGCCCGTTTCGGTGCTGGAGCCACTATATCCTCATCATCCTCTTCCTCAACCGGACGTTCCGCATTCTCAGGCTCTTCCGGGTTGTTGATCGGTACGCTGGGCGAGCGGTTGGCTTCATTCGGAGGGGACTGCTGTGAGCCCAGGGGTGTTTTCGTGAAGAAGCTTGAGATCGTGGGCTGCTTCCGCTTTAGGCTGGGACTGGATGACGCTGATGTTTGAGACGACGGTAGAGGCATGTTTTGTCTTTCTCGGGCCTATTTCGTGGGTGAGAAGGGTCCGATGGTAATAGCAAGCCAACCGTCCTGGCAGGTTTTCATTCAGGGACTCCGGGGTCTGTGCACTTTTCGGTCACAGAAATGTAGTCATTTCAGGAGTGAATCGAGCTAGTTGTACGACCAAACTGTATGGGGAACAAGGTCGATATTCAAGCTCGACAGCAGCCTTTCTCCATTTGGAGCTTGACGCGTGGGGCACCGGAGCGCGTTCGCGCCCGCGTTGAAATAAGATTACTTAATCGGGCATATGCATTGGCGGCCAACTTCATTTAAATTCCTGCAGGCCTTGATATCCTTTCAAGAACTGCCAATCTCATATGAAGGTAAATAATAGCTTTTGATTTTTCTTTTCTTGCCGTATACATCTAACTCTAGCAGAAACGTGCAACTAATTATAACACATTCAGGAGCTGACTGTCAGGCAGTCTGACTAGTGTCCATGCAGTATAACAGCAATAGCAACATATATAACGGGTCCTGGCGTAATCCCATATCGGAAGAATGATAATTGGAGACGATGCTCAGTCAAGCAATGGTCCAAGTTCAACACTTTGCTCCGCAGCACTTCGGTGTCTAGGAAATGCAATAGGACAACCGCCTCAGGTTCAGTACACTCCAAACACGCCGCCAGACAACAACGAGGTATATTAGGAACCCCCGTCCAGATATAACCGGTTGAAATCCTCATCTTCGACATCAGAAATCGTAGCATCGGGAGAGCTGACTCGTGCAGCAGAGGGGCCCTTCAACATGTTCTCAGGTTCGGCCGCATATATTGGATTTTCCTCCGTGGCCATCCTCGTGAGCGAGCTAGATAATGGGTTGAAACAATAGCCCATCGGACTCTCATGACACTCAAATGGGCTATATCCGGAGTATTGTACGTCTCCAAAGAGGTACTGTGGTGACAACACTCTATCAGACCGCTTCATCGCAGGTGATTGCCAACCAACTAGGGGATCGACTCGGCCGTAGACGTTCAACATCGGCTCAATGTTCTCTTTGTCCATAATTGTGTGGGATCCTTTCTCAAGGAGACTCGGGGAATGGGCTGCAAGGTGTGGTGAGTGAGAATCGTTATGAGTTGCAATGTCTCCTCGTAGCAGGAATGGTTGCGAAGGCGCTGTCACGCCGTGAAGAAATCTGCCCTGGTTTTCCACCTTAGAATCTTGTGAAACAGACATGTCACGGAATATGGCGAATTTGCTATGCTGTTGAAAGTCATGGTCGCCAAGGGCCAAGGCAAATTCGTCCGTATCGTTCCCGGCAGGCATCTGGCCACCAAGGCGACCAGCTACTTGGACCAGGGCTCTCTGGGGAGTGTATAGATCATGCTGGTACACGCCTCCCACGGAGCCATCGCAGTCTTGCTTGATAGTCTTCCGAAGCTTTTTCCGTTCCAGCCCGCGTTGAGCGTTCGGGTCCACCTGAGAAAGTACTCGCTTGGGGCGAGTGGCTCGCTTCTTCGGAATCGGTGTCTCCCCTTTCAGAGGACTGCTGTCTTCAACATTACCCGATATCACACGTTGCTTTCGCAGGATACCAGTCGGGGAGAAGACCAACTCCGTGGGCTCCACGCCCATTGATGTTTTCTCCATCATCTTCAGGATGCTCTCGTCCTTTTTCTGGTTGCGTTTCCGTTTCATCTGCTCGGTGGCAGAGTCGAAAATATCCATTCCCGGCCACAGGACCCCTTTGAGTCTTGCGATTTCGTCCGCCCTCTCTTTATCCATTTCATTGCCGTTGGAGTACTCGAAATTATCGTTGTCGTCAACGAAAGGATCGTAGATGAAGGGTGTGCTCAAGGGCTGGATCCCTCGGTCTTCCTTTGGCCTGAAATCGTTGGGCCAGCATGGCGCAGCGAGAGTAAAGGGAGACTTCTCGTCTCCAGAGTCATCTTCATCGTCTCTCTCCCATTTATGAGATACTCGTTCCACCTCTTGGTCCTGGGGCGATGCCGTAAGTGCTCGCGTATACCCTACGCCAAGACAAACAGGTTAGTTAACCATGCGATGGTGGGGACAGCTTAATAGTGACATTTACCTGTATTGGAGCTTGAGTTTATGAAAGGGTCCGAGAGACGGGGGTCAATGCAGTTTTGAACGGTGTTGTGTGAGTTGTAAGCCTGCAGGGGCTTGGCCTTGTACCCATCGTCCCTTTCCGTATGTCCGACGCTGTCCGGCACGGTATACTTCCCTTGCGATTTCCTCCTGCGTGAGTCTTTGGATGACATACGATCCGACAGGAGCTTTGCCAGATTGTTGGCTTCGTACCACTGGTTGTAGTCATTGAGTAAAGTCTCGGCTTGCTGCTCCTGGTGACTGCGTACTTGAAGCTTAAAGTAATGTGAGAGATGGGCCTTAGATGCGACATGCGTTAGCAAATGTGATACGTCGCTGAACCTGGGACGTTTAGGGCAGATGTTGCACAACAATGCTGTTGAATCCATTGTTGGCAGAGATCCCGTGAGGCCGAAGCAGGCGGCCCAAGGCTAGGAAAGTGGCAAGCGGAAGGTCGTGGCTTTCATAAGAGGGTAACAAAGGACAAGACAAGAAACCAATACAGAAAGACTAATCCTGGAGATAGAGACACCATCGACTTCCCTAGAATGAGAGAACTTGTCGGAAAATGATGAAACTGAGGAAACCCATCAACTGAGTGGGCACTTGCCTGAAAATAGGTACATGAGTGCCATTACTATCACGGAGGAAGGAGGAGCGAAAGCATTGTCAACTTGGAGGCAATTCTTAGTGACGCTTTAAGCAGGTGCAACCTGTACCAGCCTCAACAATCACTCCAACAATGCTCAGGTTCAATGCCACCATTGCCAATACTGCATAGAACTATCAACACAAACCTCTAGTAATACCGTCTATATAAGTAAATACAGTGTTAGGGTAGGTATAGATGAAATGGGAGTATGACACGGCTAGCAAGACGAGCGACACCGAAGTCCTACCACAGCCAGCCAGATTCTGCCTGGCTTGTGGGCCATAAGTGCCACACATATATACTCTACTTCAAGACAATACAAATAATTAAGCAACCAGGTACGACGGGGAACACAAGAGCATAATATCCTTCCCAGTGTCAATCCCAACAGGACTAGAAATCGAGCTTCCAAAAAAAGAAAAAGGGGTGCTTATATGTGTATCTGAAATAGTAAATTGATATTGCTATAAATGATTGTGCCACTGCGTCTTAACAGCTGATGAACAAGCCATTGTAGAGGGGTGAAGCGGAAATAAGTCGCAATGCCTGGCATCCATTCTTCTCCCCCATTGTATCCCACAAGCCATGGACAGATGAAAAATGGGTTATTAGATTGGGGGAGGTGATGACGACGATGATGATCTACGAACAAAAAGTCCCACTCTGTGGACAAATGATGATATCATACTACGAAGACAAAACCTTCTTTGTGATTGCTTTCGGCATACAACTGGGCAGACGATTAGTTATTGCGGTTGAAGGACAGGTGGAGTTGTTATAGACTCACTAGACAGGATCTACTTCTGCAATGCCTTCAAAACCTAGGAGGCTCAAGCCAGCAACAGCAAAGACCGTATGAAAGACGTCAACAGCATTTCCTGGTCGATCGGCAAAACCACCAGCCTCCGGATCCTAGGGAGGGTTAGCCAAAGGTGCTTGGGCTTGAACTGGAATAATTGGGTTAACCAACCTGACAGCGCAGAATAAAAGCAGCAAGCTTGTCGCCATCGATCCAGTTGAGCTTGCCAATCATAGCTAGGCTCGCTCCTACCCACCAGCTATAACAAGCGTCCTCGAGTTTCTCCGGCCGCCCATTCAATCCTCCATGGTCGAGCTGTCGTTCGCTAAGCCAGGTACCTAGACGGTCCTTATCGACTAGGTCCAGCCGCCCTGCAATAGCCAGTGCCCCTACACAGGTAAAAACCTGGCCAGAGTGCGATTCCGCCCCCGGGGATACACCGTATCCTCCGTCCAAGTTCTCACATTTCTGGACATACGAAACAGCCTTGTCGACGTCCACCAAACCTAGGAGACCTAGGAGGGATAAGGCGTTGAGAGCTCCATAGAGAAATCTCGTATCGAACTCCCCCCATTCGTCGCCCATGAAAGAGCCAGTTTCCTTATCCTGAAGACTCGCAATGTCTGGGAAAAACACTTAGCTAGGTGTCCTCACCCCGGGCCACTCAGTGGATAAGGGTTGTATATCGTACAGGAACCGACTTTCTGCTTGCCGCCCAGCCCGCGCTTTTCCAACTCGTCAACAGCATCCAACATTACTAGGAGCTGCACAGCAGATACTGTATACAGCAAGTGTGCATCATGGCCTGGTGCGGCACCAAAACCACCATTCCCTTGCTGACATGAGAGGACGAAGTCGACGGAATTATTACGGGGTAAGCCGTCGGGGCACCCAAGAAGATGCAATGCCGTCATGCCCCAGTAAACTCCATTAAGCCGCAGGTGCTCTGTAAGCCAGTATTCCAGCTCATCTTTCCGCTACGAACACCTGTCAACCGTCTCCTCGCACAGAGATGTGACACGGTAGGAATAAGGACGACGCACGCTATCCAGTTTCTTGACGTAGTCAATGTGTTTCTCGGGGCATAGCTTCTGATCGGAGATCGTCCCTGCGGCCCTGCCGGGCCCAGAAACCAAGGACATTATGGGCGTAAATATTATGGATGAGGTTAGTAGTTGGACGAAAGAATCTCTTCAGGTGCCCAAAATTATCAAAACAGGCAAAGAATCGACGTTAAGAGGGATAAGTGCAGGGATTCTGGTCCAAGACCGAGTCAAAACAAGCGCCTGGCCAAGTCTTGCAGACTAGCATGACATCTGCTGATTTTCAAAGGAACGCCAGAGCGCCACAAGATTTGCTGTGGGAGGATGGCTTGAGGGAAATGGCACGTGTCAGATTTTTTACAGGGATGCTGAGCAGGTTTGTGTGTAGAAAGGCGGGCCCACGTGATTTAGCACCGCCAAAAAGGGACTGGGTCGGAAAGTGGATCGTGTTTCAGATAGTACTCAAGAAGCAGGATTCGAGGTACAGCGTATGCGAGGTTCTTCTTGTTCCTGACTGAGAGAGTCGTGAGACCAGCGGTGAGCGCAGCATGTGCCTTGGTGTCGGTCCTCTCTTTTTACGAGGAGGCTGGCAAGAATTCTATGTAGCCACATACCAGGGGACATAATGAAACAGCTGCACAGTGATTTCGGCACAGAGTTCGGAAGGTTTACTTAAGTGCTTTTTGCAAGTTCCTGGCAAGGTAGGGAGGTGAACCTTATACGATGAGAATGACAGAAGAATGGGCGAATGAAACTGAAACGGAAAAAAAAAAAAGTAAAAAAGAAAGCCCAACGCGGGGCTCGAACCCGCAGCCTTGAGATTAAGAGTCTCACGCTCTACCGATTGAGCTAGCCGGGCTAGTTCATATTAAATCCTTGACAAGTTGACATGATAGACCAGATCTACAGTTGGGGTGGCACGCATAACATTTCTCTGCTTTCCCTCAGCATCTCCAAAGAGGGGGAGGACCTTCGGAAAAATTGGACGATGAGCCATGGTTGGACTTCATTCGGACAGGCCTTTCTTTATTTAGGGATGGCGGATTTCAATGCCCCACCGATGAGCATACCTGCTGTCAGGGGCAGGAACCAACCTTTCACATGTTGGAGAGATATTGTACAGCACACCCAACGCTGCGATGACTGGTCTAAGCTCTAAGGCACGCGGCCATTTTCTATATGCGATGCCGTGGAATGTGCTAATGCCAAGGCTCTTACAAAGACATGCACTTATAGAGTCACGGGACTGTGGATTGGACTTGGAGAGGGGTTTCCAGTCCATACTCTACATTTACTTTGATCTGCAACCCCTTCGAGGCTCTTTTCCCACATGGAGTCCGAATTCCATAGTGAACACTGAATAGGCAGTTGTGATGTAGAGATTAACGCCCGTTCCTCTGATACACCCCATAGAAATAAGCGCCCAGTTCTAGATAGTGCGCCGAAGTTATTTATATCTAAGGGGTGAGATGGGACGAGAAGGACCCTCAGAACCACCAAGTAAGTACTAGTAGAATTCATAACCTATAACTGACACACCGTTGCTTTTAATATCTGGTTCACTGTCGGTGTGGCCTGGTTGTCTCTCCTTTACCCCACTGGCTGTATCAAAAAGTACATTGAACCATGGTTGGCGGCTTCAGCAGACATTGGTCAGATGATTTTCGGGGCGACATGAAGCAAGCGAAGGGGCTTGAATTAGACTGTCCTTGCGCGACTGCGAGACTTTGCTACCCAAAATTCTTTGTCGTGGCAGTCCACGGGTCCTGAGGAACTTCAATGTCACAGGCGGCAGACTGCTGTCAAGACAAGATGATTCAGCCCTAGTGGGTTAACGGTGTCCCGTCGTTGCTTTGACCTCCTGGTCAGGCACTCGTGTTGCCATTGTGGCGGTGATTCGTCGGTGGATTTGGGATTCCCCTCGACCACTTTTCGGTTATCCAATCCGTGGTCTTCATCGCCATGTCTTAGCTGGCACTAAAGGCATCATCCCGCCCAAATTGCGTTGCTCGAGCCATTTGTTATCCCACTCCCCTCTTACACTGGGTCTGTCCAATCTTTCGGTGTCCAGGGTGCAGTTCAAGGGCAGACATGGGCCGGAGTGGCTATCATCATGAAATGCGAGTACGCCGTGGTTGGGGATATTACGCCCCGAAGCACAGGAATGACGGTCTGAGGAAGAGCTGACGAGGCGTCCGACTGAGAGAGTTTGTCAATTTTTGCCGCCTGCGCTTGCGCACGACTCAATTGATTTCCCGACTGCGATCCCTCAAGAAAGAGTGATCAGCAACAGGTGTCTGCCCCCAAGCGTCATCACTGTTTATCCATGGACCATGGATGTGCTGTCTCCGCGTATTTTGGCTGCCCCAGGCTGTCGCCCGTAGAACCTTGTGCCTGTCGAGCAGCCCCTCCACCCGGTGTGGACGCGTTGTCGCAGGTACCTATAAAATGAACATTATACTCGCATCGCGACCGTACTATCGCCGTGGATTGAGACGATACTTCAGCAAGGGATTTGCCTGAGCGCCTCCAGCCCCCAGTGCTTTGATCAGATAGGCCGCCAAAGCGCTCAAGAAAACTAAAAAGCCACTTGCTCGAAACCGTTCTCCGCCATCTCATTCTCCACTACTGGTGGTTCCCCCTTAAAGGAACGGAGCCTTAGTCTGACACACAGCCGCGCTTGCATCGCGCTATCAAGGAATGCGTCGTCGCTACGACTCTTGGACACTTTCAGTACCGTGCGGGACTCACTCAACTCTCTCCTGTCCTCCGTCAAGAATAATTCCTCTCTAAGCGAGCCCGCGCCCACCTGTTTTTTCTTTCAATACCCTCGCTTTGTTGCTCTAATTCAGGTCCTTCATTGTCTTCGTTTTGTTTTCTTCCTACATTTTGTCTTTCTGCGAAATCACTAGCGCTGCCAATCTCCTTGCCACACTCCCTCCTGTCCCCGACCGCCCGCGAACTCTCCTCGTCGACAAGAAACTCCTACTTTGCCTAGACCTCGCCTGATAGCTGACTATCGACTGAGAAACGAGGACATTGTCAGAAGGGAAAGCAGTGTGAAAGAGAAAGGAAGAAATAGTTAGAGGCGTTCCAGGCCTTAGTATGAGGGGCGCGGTTTGGTATGTTGTCACCCCCATACCGTACCCTCCTGGCGGTACCCGTTCAGGTTTCAGACTTCCAGTCAAGCACGCATTGTGTTCTGAAACAATCTCTTCAAGTCTGGGGACTGGGTTTAATCTCGCTCCTGCAACATAAAAGAAGCCCACTGAGGGATGCGTCAGATCTTTGCCCACTTGGTTTCAGATCTCACTGTCCCGCTGTGCCTGGATTTCGTCACTGTCTGGCGGGAACCGAATCGATTGCTCTTAAGATGGTTAACTAATGTTGGTGTAATTGGCTGCAGATTCACTCGAACCGACACACCCAAAAGCGCTTTTATTCATTAGGAGTGCAGAAACCACTGGACAAGATTGGCAAGGCTGGTTCTGGTCCAATCTATTTGCGAGCTCTGACGATTGATTGATTGATCGATTGATTGCGCAAACCCCGGGCTTCTGCGCTCTGTTTGGAGTCCTGGAAATATTCAAAAATTAATATCGCAATTGAAGGAAAGTTCCAGGGCCTGGGAGCGTATGGTTAGCCTCTCTTTCTTCAAATATTGCCAATTCGCTTTCCCTTGCTCACTTCACGGCCTTTGTATAGGCTGACTGTACCCAACTTCTCCTTTGAAACGTCGATATCTTTATTCGCATTCAACATTTTTGTCTCATCCACTCCATCGCTGCCTTGATCCTCACATACCAACAATTACCAAAATGCCCTCAAGACATTCTGTGATCCCAAACTTGGATCTAAGTCCGTCCACCTTGGAGGCGGGGCCAAAGATCTCCTCTCCTCTGACACCGGGTGCTCAGAGTTCTGACGGTCTGAGTCCATTGACGCCGCACTCCCCAAAGTCCTCTTCCAGTTCGCCATTCTTCAAAGGAGCCACGATCCGCCCCGTCACACAAGACTCAAATCCGACCCCCAACAGCCCTTCCTTTCCTGCCTCTCCTACTACCATCTCCGCCGAACCACCGACGCCAGGCTTTACAGCTATACCCCCGTATCCGCCATCACCTAGGGAGACCCCTAAACATACACGTGACACCTCGCGTTCCTTCTTCTCAGGTCTCAAGGCACCGAAATACTCGCACAAGGCACAGAGGTCAGACAGCTCTGGGAACTCCGCGGAAAAGCCGAAAAGTCGCGGTAGTTCGAGGGATCGACGAGCACAGGTATCGTCCAAGCTTTATGAATCATCTCCCGATCTTCCGGGAGCTGTTGCTCAACGGGAAAATGGTGGGTACCAATTAAACATTGTTACCATGAAGTTGCCTGAAACTAACTCTTCTTGTTTAGATGGCAACCCTTCTGATGATAAGAACACTCAGGCGCAACCAACAGAGCTGAAGAAAACTGGTACTGAAGCGGAAGGATTCAATTCGCTCCGGAAGACAAAGCCGCGCTTTGCCAACCTTCTGACCCGCTCGCGGTCGATCAGGTTGGACGATTCATCTATGAACCGAGCGCCGAATCGGCGTCCATCTACCGGCCTCCTGAAGCTTGAAGAGAATTTCAAGCCAGATATGCAAGAATGTACAAAGGTTGCATCAAGGAGCACCACCAATGGTACGGTTCGGGGCTATAATGCCGAGCGACCTGCGGAGTACAGCAATGGCTCGATGGGCCGAAAGGGATCGATGGCACCCTCGGCTTCATTGAGTCAGGTTTCGGGTGCTTCAGCTGCCTTGTTCAACAACCTCAAGCAATCTTCTAGCGGGGCGGCTGATCGTTTAGGGAAAGCTGGGAAAGGCTTTTTCGGCAAGATCACCAGAAGTGGTAGCACGAACGAGCGCGAGCTGTTGGCAGATGACAATTACGTTTGTAACGTGATCAATCTGCCTTTGATCGAGCAGGCGCGGCGAACGCGCATCGCCAAGCGACTCGAAGATTGTAAGGATAAGACCGAGTTCTGGATGCCTGCACTGCCGTACCGGTGTATAGAGTAAGTCCACCAGAGTGCTTTGTAAAGGGTTTGTTTACTGACGTGAAAT